TTTATCATTATTCTTCTTCGTAATACTGTTATGATTAATATTTGAGTAAATCGATTAGCTTTGTCTAACAGCTGTATGGACAATAAGAAATTCACATGGAAATTTATGATAAGAAAAGGTAAAAGAGAAGAAAGAAATGTTTCACATTATCCATTAGTTTAAGTTTTAACATTTTCTGTACTCATCTTTTGATTTAGACTATTCAACTGGACAATATTAATAACAACATAGATTTCTTTTATTAGAATTAACTATACATTTAAGGCGGTAGTTATACATTAGGTTATAGGAGATAAACGTTCCGAAACGAAACAAATAGTATGTGAAGTTGACATAAATAATCTTTTAAATAAATAGCATAAACTTGTTTTCAGATAATAATATATAGGTATTACGATAATGTAATAAGAAGATGAAGTTTATTAGAATTATGTGATACACTTTCGCAATACATTTTGAACAATCTGACCACACACATATACTTGTTAAGACATTTTTTATATGAAAATTAAAATGTCAGCTAGACAGGTTATAGGTAAGCCTTAACAAAGAAAGAAATAAAGTACACAAAAACAATGTGATAACCATTCTGGATAATAAATCAATATTACCAGGGTAGGTTAAGAGTAAGAACAAATTGTTTTTGAACGAATAAAGGGGGTTTCAGTTTCTGTATAGCCAAGGCTTCAATAAACCTTACTATACATCTTTGACGGCTTTTGTACAACACAACAAATGATGACTTGATGTCAACCTTATGACCAGTTCCAATCAAATGTTGCACAATGGACGCAGACGTCTGTCTATCCTATGATCTTATTCGACCCCCTGGAATTCATTTGTTTCTGCATCCATTTTGGTATGTGTTCACCCACCCTTAATTGTAGATCACGACTGCTACTCTCTATGTACGTATTTCCGCACATATTTATCTAAATAATGTTTTTTTTCAATAAACATTCATTGCTGGATAATATATCCATTTTAATATTTCTTAAAAGGAAGCACATCTTCAAACGATCTGTTCTTTTAAAAAAATACAACAGTTATTATTGGAGTATTGTGTAAGCGCAGTTATTTCACAGATTCTCTTTAGTTGTTTGCGACACGGAAAGAATAATATTAACTGTTAAGAAAACGTTTATATATTATATGTGAGAAGAGTTTTCATTGGAACTGGATTTGATATGTAGATGTTTATCTAATGAGGGACAGCAGTCATGGAAGAATTGAAAAGTTTGCTCGAATAATTGTCTATTTATAAGTTAAATATATGAATATCCGGGAAGAAAAAAGTGCGGCGATTTCGGAAGAAGGGTTTGTAGAAATGAGAGATTAGTTTCACATTTTACATAATAATTAAATTAGAAAATAAAAATTAAGTACCTGATTAAAGTTTAAATAAGAAGTAGGCAATAGAAAATTATCTTTAAGATCATGGAAAAATGTGATATGTAACCAACACTTGTAGCCTAGATCATCAAGGATTTTCTTTAGCTGAACAATTGGAACCTTCATTTTTATCCTCTACAGTTTAAATTAAATCCAACTTGTGAAAAATTATCCAAATTTTACTCACCAAAATCTTGGCTTAGCAACCTCCTTGTCACCAGTAAAAATAGAGGCATCGATAAATGCCACATATTAGGTTTTAGAAACACGTATTGTATATAACACTGTAAGAATCTGTTTAGCTAATAAGATCTCATGATTAAGGATAAATGCGTAAAGATTTCAATGATGGTTGACTTGATTGCTAAAAATATCTAAGACTCTTATGTTTGTAGATTTAAGACGTTCAACTTAATAACAGATTATAATCAATAATATTGATGACATCAATTGATAATTACTCTTCTTCAAGGGCTTAGAAACGTATCAGAAACAATGAGCATCAAATGAAAGTACGCAGTTACAATTTATCTGAAATCATTTAAACATTGTCAAAAATGGTATATGCGTATATTGAGATTTCATGTTGAAAAACACAGTTTGTGTATTTATACTAGAGGTGTCTCATTGTGATCATAAAATGATTGTGATTAGGTATTATAAAGGGTTATAAATATCTATTTTAACTATCGATTGTTTCATTTTTTTGTTAACACAACAAAATAAGTGAACCCTACTAAAATGTAATTAGATATATGTGGCCACTGAATTAACCTTAAGCAACACTTGACAACAAATCAATTTGTAAAAAAAATTATTTAATCCATTTATTTACTATTTAGATATTAAAAATAATTCATTTTCATAATATATAATTCGGTATGTTATCAGTTTATTCGGTTCACATCCACTAATTGTTACTTTATGCTGAGTTAGAAATTTACATTGGTGAAACTAGAATTTATAAATGACCTTTAAGTGACACTAAGGTAACCTTCAAAATTTCCGTCTAGTAACTAGGAATCAATGAAAGTTATAGACCATTACCAGGAATTCGAATCATGATTTTGCAGTTGATGGTTAAGGTTAGGAATTAGATTTAGGATTTTCAACACAAATTGACATCAACCGAAATGCCATAAGGTTATTTAGCCAAATGGATGAATGAATTTCGTTCCAAAATCCAAAACCTTTTACCCTAAATCTGATTGGTTCATCCATAAATTATAATCTCGCCTATATTTGTAAATAATTCTTAATGTAAATGTGAATTAATCAGACAAGCAGTTATACAAAATGATATTACAAACAGTATCAACTTTTTTTATTCAAAACTATTTAACCAAGAAATTAAAATATTGTTATCAGCATAACATGAGAAAGATTATTATGATTCCGTTTAATAAAATTGGTACATATGCTCACTAGTGACTGGCTTCACGAGGTATATCCTGGAGTTCTAGTGAGAAGCAGTGACCAACGGAGTTCAACTAGGTCTGTTGTGAGATAGTAACTCAATGTAGACAATGGTGGATGTGTCGCTCAATTTCGTGGATTAGTTGAAGTTAGACATTAATACCGCTGGATGCCGGCCATCTCAGTGGTCTAGTGGTTAAGTGCTCGCGCGAAAAACCAGTAGGTCCTGGGTTCAAATCTCACTGGGGGCGAGGTCGTGGATGCGCACTGTTGAGGAGTCCCACAATAGGACGGGACGACCGTCTAGTGCTTCCAGGTTTTCCATGGTGGTCTAGCTTCAACTGACTCATGATCTTAACCATTGAAATTACTCATAAATTTGTTTCTGTAAATTTATGGTACTTTATTGATTAGTTCTTACAGAACCAATTGGATACATTGATCATGAAGTAAACAATTTATTTTCATTTTTAGTGTAAAGTAAACAATTAAATCAATTCTGTTATTAGAAAAAAATTTCAATGCATCCAATTTCTCCTTAAAAACAAACAAACAAACGAACAAACAAACAAATCTTCTAATTAATCGAATCATAACTGAAACAATGACAAATGCTCAATTTCAGTTGACAATCCATTCATTAAAATGTTCATGTCCAGTATATCGGTTAGTATACTCTGAAGAGTTGATTAGAAACATAAACAAATTTATCTTATTCTTCTAGAAATCCATAAATAAATAAATAAAATTTTTAATCAATACTGTCATTGTATAATCTATGTTACTAACGAGGTCTTATTCAGTAATGAATAATCTAATATAGAAACAAAACAAACTGAAATAAAAATATATTCATATACTTTTCAAGAATTAATTACATTTAGTAATATAACTGAAAATACTGGTCATTTTGTACAATGTTAAATTATTTTTTTACACCCCAGAAAGAAGATATACTACTGAATAAAATATAATACTATTACATTAATTAATATAAGAATAATTCTTTTTATGATGTAGGAAAGTGACGTTCAGTTCATCATCATTAAACAATTTCATTCTGACATATAAATATAATGATAAATTATGGCTAAACTAATGACGAACAACATACATATTCAATATAATATTGTATATTTGTGTCATAAACAAATTTCATTTGTTTGTTTTTTCTGTTCAAAACTAGTTTACTTTCATGTAAAGTACAGCTCTACAAAATGTCTATATCTTTATTTGAGTTTATAGGAGAATTTCATAAGAATGATGAAATACTTAACGTTTTATTTGTAAAAAAATTGTTTATAAACTGTAATTGCCATAAAATTCACTTAATGTTGTTTACTTGTATTTTCCCATTGTTATTTAGGAGTGAGATTGATCAGTCTCTTATTGGACGACTGAGCCGGCATCCAATGGTGATAGTGTCTAACGTCAACCAATCCACAAAATTGCGCGACCAACTTCCGTTGTACTGAGGTAGATACCTGTCTCTACCTGACATGGATTAGCTCCACTGTTTTCCGTTTCTCACTAGAACTCCGAGAATTCCCTCACGAATCTAGTCACTAGTGAGCACATGTTGATTACTAGTACAGGGGTTGTGGAGATTATGAACTGGAAACTCCAGTTGGTTAAGCATTCGCGCGCGAGACTGAAGGCCCTGAGCTCGAATCCCGCGTGCGGGATCGTGGATCCGCTCTGCTGAGGAGTCCCACAATAGGATGAAAAGGCCGTCCAATGCTTCTAGGTTTCCAAAGGTGGTGGTCTAATATCAATGGGTTCATGATCTCAATCAAAAACAATTGTTTTCAATTGATCAATAAGTGTGCAGCATCAAGTACTTCCGAACACTTCTTCATTCATTCATTCATTTAGTGGATAAATGCGGGATTTAAAAACATAAAAATCACTAGGGATTTCATTTCTGTGAACATGCCACTGTATCTCAACTAACTTGATGGATAAAAAAAAGTGAATCATGTGAAAGTTAGAGTTTTGAACTGAAAATCTCAGTAAAAAGTAAACTTTATTATTCATTATTCACTTTCCTGACACACAAAAGATGTTCGAAAATGTATGTATGCGTTACCGAATCACAGATACGTATAATATCTTAAGTCAAGCCCTAAAAATGAATTCATTATTTACGAAACTTATTTTGTGTGTTTCATCTTTTTTTCTTCACTTATTAGGAAATTATCCATATTGGCTAGCGCTAAAGCACATAATTATATCAGAAATTCTAAATCAAATTTTTCCCAATTAATTAGCATACAACATATTGGATGTGGTATTATACCTGATCATATATTGAAAATATTAACTGTATTAGAGAAGAAATTTCAGATGGGATTGATACCAATTTGGACATTATTGAATAATACAAATTTTACTCGTTTTGTGAAGTTTAAAAATATCACGGTAAGAAGTATTATTGAATTACATTTGCAAATCATTAATTCTTTCTTCAGATATTTATACATTTACTTACTTACTTACATACATACTTACTTACGCCTGTTACTCCTAATAGAGCATAGACCGCCGAACAGAATCATCCGACCCACTCTGTCCTGGGCCTTCCTTTCTAGTTCCATCCAATTCTTGTTCATTTTCCGCATGTCTGTCTCCGTTTCTCGGCGTAATGTGTTCTTTGGTCTTCCTCTTTTCCTTTGGCCTCGAGGATTCCATGTGAGGGCTTGCCTTGTGACGCAGTTGGGTGCTTTTCTCAATGTGTGTCCTATCCACTTCCATCGCTTCTTCCTGATTTCTTCATCCACTGTAATCTGGTTTTTTCTTTCCCACAGTAGGTTGTTGCTAATGGTATCCAGCCAACGGATCCGAAGTATTTTGCGTAGACAACTGTTAATAAACGCCTGTATCTTTTGGATGATGGCTTTCGTAGTTCTCGAAGTTTCCGCCCCATATAGTAGAACTGTCTTGAATTTATACATTTACAGTCATAAAATGACTTTGATAAAAATATTTTAACAAAATATATCTTATCTGTCCAAAATAGTGAATCTGTCATTAATAATTGAAGAGTTAGCTGGTCGATTACAATCGTATTGATCGTGTAAAAATATTCTGGTTCCAGTCGTTAGCACAATTATCTAAAATAAATTTCTAGTTAAAACTTAGATAACAAAAGTTATGTCATTGAAAAGCTCTTCATGTCAGTATGTTATCCTATCATAAATCACAAGTGATATACTGAAAAAGAATTAAGCACAACTTTATAACTTTTTCTTTTTTAATTGATCAGATAATTTCAACTCGTTTCGTATTTAAATATCTGGTAACGTCTATGTCATTTCTGCCCTACCACAATGTTAAATAACCATTGGATTCATTAAATTGATTTATTTGTAAACAGAATACTCACGAAATTAGGTTGACGTTCAGTGGTATTACACTGTTCTTCTTCAAAACAATTAATACCGGGTTTCAGATTTCCTACCTAAATTGCAACTGATCTGGGAATGTTTTTAACTATTTCAAGATATGTTGACCCATAATTGGCGTTCAATTCGACTATAAAGAAGAATAAATGAGCTTAAATGGAATTGAATGAAACTTCAATAATTTTCAAATCAATTTAATACTCCTTCAGACCTTTTTCGTAGATGCTTCAATATTATGAAGTGGCTAGGTGGTTTAAGTAAGATACAAACCAACTGATAAGTTATGTCTTTTAGTATGATGTCAATAAAGAAATAAAAATAAACCAATCCTTATAACTATTGATATAACAATGCTTATATTCCTACTTTGAATATTTAATCAATTTCCGAAAAATTGGTTTTGGCACTTAATTTCTTTTCACTTTTCTATGGCTTTTTTCCGTCATGATTATATAATTATAGAAAGTATCAACAGTCAAGTATGCCACTAAACAGAATCTCATTCAATGAGATAAAATTAATTTCACGGTAAAGTAAACATTAAAGATGGTGAAATGATGAACTCTCGTGTATTAGTCAAAATGATAGTAGTTTCGGGTTAACTTATAACTCATACGATGATTCACCAATTGTTTTCTCACTCACGTTCTTTGAAACGTTCTTCATTCTCTTATATCAGGTTTTAATCGATTGCACTAAGGCTGGAATTTTTTTAAGGCATGGGATTTCTGGAAACTATACAATTTTCATTTCTTAATTCTTAAGCTGATCTTAGCCAAATCAACATCAAAATCCTAGGAGTACTGGACGACCATTTCATCCTAGTATGGAATTACTGAGTAAGGTTGATTTGCGATCCTATACACAGACAGTGAACATCGGACATTCGGTTTCGCCCACGAACCCTTGATTTCTATTCCAATTAGCCGGCATCTACAAATTAATGCCTAAATACATCCAGTTCGCAGTATTACTCAACCCTCATCACTTCCCTGTGATAGACAGCTGTCTCATATCCAACAAAATTGAACTCTAATGATCACGTCTTCTTACTATGACTCCGAAAGTTGCATCTCGAATGCTTTTTGTCCATGCTTTATTATTATGAGCCTTGTTATTTACGTCAGTATTTGGGAAAACGTTTCTACTTCAATCACTTTAACTAACTAAGTTTTCCTTTCAGATTTTTACATCTCCTTGAAATTAATCAGACCAAAATCAAGAAATAACTAACATGGTAATGATTACTTCTCAGTGGTAGATTGTATTAGTGGGTAAACCCTGACTTAAAGATCACTTAGTAATAACCTTATCACGGTTACTAAAAGTCAATCGTGGTAGCGCTTTTGACATCAACATTGAGTGATGTTAATCTATATCCCTTAAAGGGTATTAATACCATCAAAAGCATGTTTAATTCTTAATAAGGGGTTTAAACCATCAAAATCCCTTCTTCTACAGTTACTTATCGGTAACTGCCAACTATATGACACTAAACAATAGTTCAGTTGAAAATAGTTTCGACATACATACTTAGATTACATCCCATGACATATGACAAAACTTCTTCGGATAAATTATAATTTATAATGAATTGATTTGTTTAATAAATATTATTTGCTCTCATTTTGATCATTTAGGTATAGTTGAAATTCCTATTTTCATAATGTTTATTTTTTAAAATAATCCTTGAACCTCCAAATGTCATGGTACGGCTGAGAATCGGGAGAGTCAATTCTCTCTTTCGAAATGCTCTCACATGGCCACGTACATACAACTACTGCCAAAGAAGTTCTACTCACTACCTTCTCGTGGCGAGGGTGTTGTTTACAAAACTGATAGAATGAAAAGAGAATGTCTGGCGCTTTAACTGGGTTGGTGGGTACAGAAGATTCACCTAGGGGAGTTGGAATACTCTGATTTCAAACGAATGGTGCACATGAGCTTTAGGATCCTGAAGGAACAAAAGGCATATGAACCAATTATTGGCCACCGGTTACCTTGGAGCTGCATCACCTGACGTCGCTCCATTGCCTTGTGGATCAAATTTTAGGTCAAAGGCTCCGGATGTGGCCCCTTAAGAAAACCACCTGTTTTGGTTTGCGCACTCGGGTAGTATCCTAGCCCTCACACAAATCGAATGATTTATATGGCACACATTTATTTGGTGCCTCCTTGTACCAATGTTTATGCGTTTAAATAAATAAATAATCAGAAGAAATTTGTGGAAATTTTAGAAATTTCACAGGTTGAAATCATGAGTCAACTGGAGCTAGACCACCATGGAAAACCTGGAAGCACTGGACGGCCGTTCCGTCCTAGTATGGAACTACTCAGCAGTGCGCATCCACGATCCCGCACCCCGCTAAATTCGAACCCAGAACCTATCAGTCTCTCTCCAAGCGCTTAACTAACTAGACCACTGAGCTGACCGGCATCCAACGGTGTTAATGTCTAACTTTAACCAATCCACGAAGTTGCGTCACCGTATACCATTGTTTTCAGTGAGCTGATATAATCCTTGACAGAATAATGTATCATATAAACAATATCTAGCAGGATAAGATCGAAATGGCTTGAATTATATTTCCCGTTCTTATCCTTGTTTATTTATTCATTAACCAAAAATATGTTTTCTGGTGATCATTTGTCAATATAATAATAGGGTCATAAATTCAATTATTATTATTATTCGTCAAACAATCATTCTATTGAATGAATTTGTCAAATTAATAGATATCAGATTGAAAATGAAATGATCATATCAGAAAAATAAATAAACACAATTAATTTTCATTAATTGTATTGATTAAATTCTTTAATTGATTATTTTCATTATAGAATTAAATCATTAATCTGGGTCATGTATTAATTTACTAGTTTGTTTACTATGATACAATTTATCTATCATATAATTGACATTCATTTCAGTGGGAAAAAATGTAGTCATAGATCTAGGAATGAACGTGATCGTAGTTCGTTTTACAGCCTTTTGTGATATTCAATGAATATGGAGTGTTCCAAAGATTCTCATATTCCTTCATTCTATTAATAGGTTAATCCAGTGTATTATGGTGTAATATTTAATGAAGATTTTATTTCAAATTCTTTTATAACATTCAACGGGATTTACTACACTTAAGTATTTACAGAGGTTAGGTGTTGATAGTTTTCTATGTTTGAAATGAAATATTTAGTGTAAATAAAATGCTTATATTAAGTACTCAACCATTCTTCCTCAAATGAACGGGAAATGCCTAAAACATAATTAACATCATACACTTACTGAATGTTGAGAAATTTATGGATAACACCACATGGTGTAGTGTAGTTAAACAATCAGAATAGTATTAGTTATTAATGTCAAGCTTTCCAAATGATGGTCATTACTTAGTACTTAGTCAAAATAAAGGAATAAACATAGATAAACTTTAAATTTATCAATTCATTTATTCAATGTCTTTTTATTCTAAATTTAAATTAGATAGATTGTTTTGTTTATATGAGTAGAATGAGACCAAACTTTAAAATGATCCAGAATGAAACAAGATTTTACATGAATGTAATTTATTTAGCATCTTTGAAATTTTCAGTTTCGATCAAATAATTAAATAGTATTGTACAATGGTTTCAAGTAGGTAGATTGTTTACTGATTGTTATCGAAATATACATTTCGGTAATTCCAAGTACATGATCATCAATTTAAATCACGTTGGTGAATAAGGGAATTAAATAAGTCAAATACGAGAATGGATTTTGAAAGCGTATATTTCATACAATCGTTGATCAAGACGACCAGAGAAACGAAGCGAATAAGAGAGCGAAACGAAACATATAGGAGAAGGCATTTGAGCCGACTCGCTTTAGCCAAGAGTGAATCGATATTTATAGTCAGGCGAAAATAAGTTACAGACATGTGATGAGTAAGACAAGAAATACACACACATGTACTTACATAAAAAGTCAAGTGTAAAACATGTGGCTGAGAAGAATGAATATATTGATCTGTCTAGAGTCTAGAATAGTCTATATGGGCTTGACATAGATACCAGCCCCTACAGATTCAACTGATTTCATATTTCTAAAGTGTGTTTACTTAATATCTATAAATATACGTAGTATCCTATATACCTGTAAATTAATGTTAGTTCAAGTGAGATAATTCCTCATCTGTCCCTCTGCTGATGTTCTATAATGACTAAAATAGAAGTTGGTTGAGAGATAAGGAGGATCTGACTGTGAAGTCGTTGATTCTTTGCGATGTTATTAAATGTTAAGGCATATTGGTTGGAGTTTGCAATATTTGGTTATGTATATCAGCTGACCGTTTCGAAAGTAGTAGCAGTGGTGCAAGTGTTTCAAATCTTACATTAAATTTTGAGCACTTGTTCAAACTTCCTATTCTCCAACTGAATTTATTATTTTCGAAATATGTTTCACATGTTTATTATAATCGATTATATTGTATTTCGACACTTTGATTCCATTTCTTGTCATTTGTGCTGATACTGATTTGGATGTGTCAACCAATTCAGCTGTGTGCTAAATACTATGTTGTCTATAACTTATCGACTAGTTTAATCTAACGATAACCCTAAAATATCCCTCGAACCTATTCAAAATTATATTAAATAATGTATCAAAAGCATGCAACTATGTAGTAAAGTTACATCAATCCTCTTGTCATGTACAGTAAGATTTTGCACTAACTCATTGCACCGTTTCTTGTAGAGCGTTCCTAGATTTCATTAACTGAGCTCTTGTTTTAATGAGTAAAATGTTCTGTTTTTGCTTTAATTTCGATTTAATTCATAATACATCATAAAAATACAATATAAAGTCCGGTAATTTGGTATTTATATATACACATCTAAATCATTTTCTTCACTACAAAAATCACATAAATTTCAATTGATATTTTAAATGCAATCCCGCACCCGATGGTCGAATCTAGGACCTTAGGTCTCGCGTGCAAACACCTAACCTCTAGACCACTGAGCCGGCACATAACGATGTTAATTTCTATCTTCCATAGATCCATAATCTTGCGAAACCCTACATCCATTGTTTGAGGTAGTTAACTGTCTCTATCTGAAAAGATTGAACTCCACTGGTCACTGCTTTACACTAGAACTCCGGGAGTTTCATCTTGAAGCTCGTCACTAGCGAGCACATGATTATTATCAGAATGAGTTGATTTTGGACAATAATATTTCAAACAACACTATCAGATTTTTGTATATATAGTTTTTCCAAAATATTACAAGGTTTAGCATTTAGATAAATCTCAGTAATCTATTCGAGTGTGCTTCCGATTAAATGTATTATATTACCTCGAAATATTGGTAGAGTAATGTTTTATGATCATTAAGAATTCGGATGTTATCGAATTCAGGCACCAATATTTCAATTAATTATAACGCTAACCCGGAAAGAAATACAAAATTAAAGAAGATATTCACCTTGTTAGGTTGTACCTTTGAAATGTAATTCTGCATCTTATATACAAAGAAAGTCGTTTGAACCCAATTTTTCAGTTACTATGATGTTTACAATATCCGTTATTGTTAGACAGAACAAAACTAAACATCCCCGTTTACTTTCTGACATTTATTTTTAGTTCGTTTTTAATCATCTGTTATCTGTTAAGTAGCTCAGGTTTCAAGTCTTATGAACTTATGACACTTAATTAATAAATATTTTATGTTTAATCTAAGAAACATTATTCACCTGTTTTTAAGCTAATGTGTTATTCACTACTTCTATGATATGAATATACCTTGATTAACTAGTTGGCTGAATGGATTGTTGGTGATCTAATTCATAATTCTTTGGATGATGCAACACAGACAAAACAAGAAAATGTAAAACGGCCTCTTAATAAACGATCTGCAGTGTCGTCACGTGAAGCTGGATATTTAGAAGAAGGTTCAGGAATGGCTTTGTTTCAACAATTTTCAAAAACGGATTATCGTTCATTTTTAGAGCATTCCAGTTCTGATCTAATACATTCGAATATACCAAGAGTTAAAAATTATATAACACCAATAAAAACAACAGTGTATCAAATATCTAATGTCCAAATACCACAGAATACATTCTATGATCTTCAAGATGGTTATACACAAAACCTCAAACTTACATTATACGCTTCAAATCGCGAAAATATTTCATATATTGAACTTAAGTCTATGGAAAACTTGAATCAGGCTATCGGTGAAGAGATTACACGTGATATAAAAAACTGGGTGTCGTTTGATCCAAAGAATCAGATTATACGACTTAAACCATTACCAGACCATGTTGGAAATCATACACTCATTGTATGTGCAACAGATAGAGATCAGAATAGAGCTTGTGGTAAGTGAAAAAATGATTACTGTCCTCTTTTTTCCATACTTACTGATGAAAATTAAAGTTGAATAATTGTCAGATTATTCTTTATTCATTGATTGTTATGTAATAAGTGCATTCAATCATAAAGAATGTCATCATTGATTATATCTTAACTATACTAAACTTTTCGTATACTCCACAAATCACTAAGATCTGTGATTGTTTTTTTTCTAAACAAGAAATTGACAAACAAATTAAACTATTCATGCGTTATAAGACAGACTATACTGAAATATCCAACGTTTTATGAATTAATTTTGTTTTTGATAAAACATAAATTGTAAGTTTCTAATAAAATGATACGAAAATAATCAGAGTGAGTGAACAATAGTTTTATAAAGTCGAAGTGTGCTTGTATGTAAATTTACGGCATATATACTTCCTAATTTACAGACTTCCGAGAGTTGTTCAACAAAACACCCTTGAAATAGGTCATTATTGATGTCTTTCAATAAAAATGTCAAATCTGTAATGAATGACAGACCATGGTATATTTATAGTTACAATTACATGAACAAGTGTAGCGACTGACATGAAAGCAGATTGTCTATAAGTCATAAAGCATAGTGTAATTTAAATTAATATTTCAATATGAATAGGAATAATCAGAATATTATGTCAGTAAAAATTAAACAACAGGTAGACACTAATACTTAGAGGTTAAGAAAACGTAATTCAACATGAAAGAATATAATAATGTTTAGTAGCTTAGGTTATCCAAACAAATTTCAAACTAATGTCAAAGAGGAAAAGCAAAATCTAATGAAAAAGGGAAACGAATCAAATTTATATCTTCAGATGATTTTTGATAAAGGAGATAAATCAGTCAATGTATATCATAAACATCTAAATACTTTATCATGTTAATGTATTTGTATTCATAACTGAAGAATTTTCAACTATGAATATACTAAATTTCACTTAACGCGAATTATTGATTATCACAATCAGAAATGCAAGTTTGTAAGATTAGTTAATTATGTTTTTCCGCTACATTCAAGGACTTCAACATGAAAAAAAAAGTTATAAAATACTGATGATTCAACTAACATGTCTTGGTGTATTTCCATTTAAAAGAAAGTCGATAATTTTCAATGATACACATAAATCAATAGACTCTACAAATGAGTTTCATTGAAATTGAAATATCTTGTACAGGACAAGCTGTTAGTCATATGTAAAGAAATTCAAATACTTTACTTCTATTTAAAGTTTACGTTGGTGATATTGTTTAGAAGAATAATGATAAACTCCACAACTATACCATGTAGTTCAGAGAACGAAACTCCACCAAAATATACATATGTATATACACATGTACGAAAATTGAAGGATAACACAGTAAGCACCAATATAATGAAACCTGACTGTTTAGTTCAATTTCTCTTTTCCTAATGTCTGCTAATTAAAAGTTATCCAGCAGTGAGATAAAAATTACAAAATCGTAATTTCATCAACTGAATATATCTATAGTTTTCTAGTACTGTAATAAGAAAAACATATAATGTTAGTATAAGGTGTTTTGCTAAATACAACAGGACTATTAAACTTTAATTTGCCAAAATCTTTACTCAACATAAGCAATTCATCTATACCACTACGATACAACAATACGAAGTATAATTTGATATTGATCTTGTGGTAGATTCAATCATTAAGGCAATTCTTATAAAATAAGTTGTCGTTTACTTCTATGAAATAGCATAGTAAATAAGATAAGGAAGAGATGTTAGCCACCTTCTATTGAAATCATAAACTGGTCAATGTTAGACCAACAGTAAAAACCTTCAAGCACTGGATAGTCGTTTCGTCCTTATTTGGGACTCCTCAGAAGTGTGCACCCGTATCCCACAATTAAAGATTGGTTAAAGTCGCATATTAACACCGTTGGATGCCAACTCAGTGCTCTAGAGGTTAAGTATTCACAAAAAACCGAAGTTTCAAGTGCGAGGTTGTGGATACGCGCCGCTGAGGAGTCTCAAATCAGAACGAAACAGCCTTCCAGTGCTTGAAGGTTTTTTCATAGTGGTCCAACATTGATCGGTTCATGATCTCAATAAAAATTCAAGTCTCCACAATCCTATTCTGATTCACCTTTTACCTTAAGCAATTTTCTACTCTAATTTTTTAAATTTTCACAATCTATAGTCCAATTTAAAATAAATCATAACAAGAAAAATACTAATGAAGTTGTGTTCAAGCGAATAATTAAATAATCATACTGAATAGACCATAAATTTCATATAATAAAAGAAGAGTTAAAGAGAATTCTGTCAATCGTAACGATGGTTATATTATTATTTTCATTTTTATAACTAACCTAATTGAACTGGGTCAGTTAAAATAGCATGATAGAAATGCTTTTGCTTTGATGAATAAGAAACAAGAGAGAAAAAAAATGAAACTCATAACTATTCTTGTATTGAAATTCTAACCTAGGCTTATTAACACTTTTATGTTTACCTAAGAAGCGAAAAAAGAAGATGGTTTTGCTTTGCTTTTTGAAATAAATATAAAGATTTAAGGGAAAAATATATTAGTTATTTGGATATATTAATGAATTATCATAGCAGATTAGTTAACATATCCATGTATTTTGTTTTATGCTTTGTTTTGATGAACATAGAAAATAATTTGGTGTTTCCTTCAAAGGAATTGTTTACTGAGCTGTTGAATTTGCCTTATATAATAGAAATAATTTTCCTTAGATTTAATAGAAATTTGTTCAAATAACAATGGATTTGAAATGTTTTAATAAACTGAACAAATTTTGTGTTTAAAAAATTATGTAAAGGATTAGAAAACATTTAGTAATGATCGTGCAATATGGTGGATTGATTGAGAGTTAGGCATTGATACTGTTAGATCCTGACTCGTTAGTCTATAGGTTAAACTTTTGTGTGAGACATTGAAGATTCTATGTTCACGTCCTTCGTGCCGAGTTGTAGATGGGCATTGTTGAGAAAATCTTTGTTAGAAAGAAACGGCTATCTAGTCCTTGAATGTTTAAGATTTCAATGCAACATCAAAGAATATTTGGATCTATCTAACTCTTCAATTCTTCTCAATAATTACTGAAATGAATATTGTAAATAGTTCTAGACAATTTTTCAAACCCTTTATAGGAACATGTAATCTGACAGATGATCACTTCTCGTGTGTGAGGAGTTTTACATAGCCATTGATTTTCCCATAAACTTAAGAGAATGCACTCATAAAATGTTCCTTTTAAAGTAAAGTTATCAAATAAGTGAAGTTTAGGTTAATTTACTTTGGTTATCAGAGTATGTTACTTCCAAATTTATTATAAAACCTTGTGTCACTATTTTCTTAAGAACAAAGCCGTTTGATTAACTTGTAACATTTAAAAATAGAGTTATACACATATACATAAAAAGCCTGAAATGATAAACTGGAATTTCAAATAAATGTTTTAGTAAACCAAACCCTGTTTACCATCTTTCATATTTTTCTGCATTTTAGAACCGTTTCAGATAATTGTGAAGCGTCCATCACCTTTCAGAAAGAACTTTATTTTACGTATACCTCCAGGTTAGTTAACAATTTTTCGATCATTTTCATTTACACAAAAATAAACTTAAGAATCATTTTTAATTTAGAAACATTATAGACGAAATTAGTCTCAAACTTCCCCTCAAATTGTGTAAAACTCTCAAGCACGTATACGTCACGTTTCATAATTGCAAACCAGATTGATAAATAAAAAAAACGCTGGATGGTTAATTACGTTACACATATGGTTTACCAACGAATATTTAACGAAGCAAGGACAGTAAAACTTTCGAGAATAGTTTCGTTTTATCTCAAGAGATGCAGAAGATTTGATTTTTCATAACTTATCACGGTTTATTATAGTGTCGAAATTAGAACATCCAGATCTATAAACACTGGTAAATTAGCTATAATAAGAGTATTTTCCCATAAACTTTATCAAGAAAACAAATAGTATTAATGGTTCATTTATAGACGGAAAATTACATAGAAACGCCCTTAAGTCTTTCATTTCGGTTGATAAAAATGTAATTATCAGAATGAGTTTTGTGGAGATTTTAGTAAATTTCACAAGTTGAAATCATGAGTCAGTTCTAGTGAGAAGCCGTCACCAGTGGAGTTCAACCAGGTCTGTTGTGAGATATCAGCTCACTGAAGACATTGGTGTTCGATGGCGCAACTTCGTGGATTGGTTGAAGTTAGACATTAACACCGTTGGATGCCGGCTCAGTGGTCTAATGGTTAAGTGCTCGCGCGCGAAGCCAGTAGGTCCTGGGTTCGAGCCCCGCGTGGTGCGGGATCGTGGATGCGTACTGCTGAGGAGTTCCATACTAGGACGAAACGGCCGTCCAGTGCTTCCAGGTTTTCAATAGTGGTCTAGCTTCAACTGACTCATGATTTCAACTTGTGAAAAATGTAATTGTTGAAACATATTCTTATTGAGAAAACCTCGAGGAATTAAGATTTACTGAAACTGTGGGAAATAAGTTCCAAACGTATTTTAAAGAAGAATACTGGATTATTTATATGGCTTAGATTTTGAACCCAAATCAGTTTATGATATAACATGATCCTCACTCAATAAAATCATAGTCTTGTGTTTACTCTATCAGAAAGTGTTACATAACAAAAAGGGCGGCGTGCTTGAGCATCTGGGCTACCTGTTCCTGCCATCCAGACATTTCAACAAGTTATCTATTTTTGTTTGTTTTAATATATCAATATGTTTATTAATCGCATGATGTATTCTGCTAAGTTTCTGAAAAGTGTACAACTTTTCGTTGGCAAAGTAACAAAAAACTCAATAAGAGCCAATGTAGTTGCTGGCAATATACAGCGAAAAGAATGCACATTGTTCAGAAGTTCATTTACTGAACTGCTAACATCTAACTGGCGATCACTCAATATTTATCACCAGGACCGACCAAGAAGAAAGAAACTGAAACTTGTTGAAATACTTTACGCTGAGAATTCTATATTGTACCAAAAATATAATATTGAATAAAGCTGATGATAATAATAATAATAATAACTTTTTTCTTCTTAGTTATCACTGATATCTCGATCAATGTTTTTGTATTTTTTGAAACTTGAATTTTCACAATGTTATCCAACATAAGAGTAATCCTTTCTTGAATAATAATGTACTTTTACGTTTCAATCAGTTTACTCAGATCTTGTGTCGAACAGATAATCTTTTTCATATTCGTCAGAGGTTGATTATGGAATAACTATTCTCTTCCTCTCAGTCCATTCTCAACCATTAAATTTGTAGGGATGTACTGATTTTTACTCTTCACAGCTCAATAATCTCGCTGTTCAATAAAGCACAAGCTTAGCTTGTGAAAGTTTAACTTAACTTTCAGAATGTGTGAATAGTTTAAAACAAATGAAACAATTTTAATTTATTATATCACGATATATTCTGCTTTGATTAAGATACAAACGCTTTTCGTAAGAAAAAATATAAGAACTATCCAGAGATTGAGAAAAACAACCTTTTTTTATTATTGTGAAATAATCATGCATTGATCATCCCTAAAAGCGTATTTCCTCCCCATGATGATTGACACTGCAATAAAATATACAATCAATATATATGTATATATTCATTGTATTTCTTTACAGAAACGATTCTATATGACATAGAAAACAATAGTTATGATTGACGTACATTCCCATTCAAAATAAAATTTCAGTTTTTTCATAATCAATTTTCTATCTTTCAGTGATGATTTTAACTTTAAACAATTTTCTATATTAATTCACCTCCGATATTTCTAAATACAGCCTATGTGATACTTTACTTAAAATGCTGGTTCTAAGTTGTTCAATATTTCATAGTTGAATTGATGAGTCAAGTGGAGCTTGATCACCATGAAAAATCTGGAAGCACTGAACAGACGTTTTGTCATAGTGTGGGACTCCTCAACGGTGCGCCTCCACGATCCCGCTCGCGGGAATCAAACCCAGGACCCATCGGTTTTGCGCGCGAACGCTTAACCTCTAGATCATTGACTCGGCATTCGAAAGTGTTAATGTATAACTTCAACCAATCCAGGAAGTTGTGCCAACTATTAAATTACTAAAATCTTCACAAAACCCACTTCTGATAATATTCAATATTTACCATTTACATTATGAATTATACATACAATAAAAAGAATGAGAAAAATATCAATTTTATTGCATTTTATATCTATGCCAATCTAATGATCAATAAAAGTAAACAACTATTGTATGATATTTCTTTAGCTTTCTAATACATCTATAGGTATCATTCACAGTGAAGTCAATATCTATTTTCTTCTAAACTTTATGTATGGTATTTTTCATTGAACAGACGTTCAGATTATCAAACAATCAAGCGATTCACTCTGTATTTCATAAAAATGTGTTTCAAATTAAAATCTAATTGAAACATTAGGCTCTCAATCGTTAGTTAACTCAATAGTTAATTTAATGCTGTAAAAAAGCTTTTATAATCTATGTTATTTAGTCATATCTCAAACTAATTTACATTAAGCAAAGTCAAACCTAGTAATGTGTTGCATACCAAAATAGGCATTGTCGGCTGAAATGTGATTAGAACTGATAATTTGACAAACGAACATTGAATATCATCTAGTCAGTAGATCAATGTAATACCATTAATCTATTTGTCAATTAATTAGGCTTATTCCAAAGTGAAGAAGAGCACTTATCAACTCACTCAAATGTTGAGAACAATAACGAAACATAAAGTACAACTTCTGTATAACTTTTGATCTACTCTTTTTTAGTTGTCGTATCCGTAATCATTCTGTCACTTGTTATTAACATTATCGATGAAACTAAGTTATCAAAAATTAATGTTTCTTCCTATTTTATATAAATATTAACTTAAACAATATTGTAAAAGTTTGCTTCTTAGCTGGAATTCTATTTTCTGATTGCACAATATTTCATTTTCAACATTTTTATAAAAAATCTTTTCAAGGTGTATTTTGGTGTTACCAAGTACCTATTTATTGGTTCAAAGAACTTAAAACTCTTTCATTTGATAAATTAGATTTGGAAGTGAAAGGTAAGTAAAAAGTATTTAGATTTTATGCATTTTATTAATTGAATAATAATTTTTTTCTGGCTAGCGTTTTTTTAGCGAGTTAGTTTATTACGAGATGGAGTCGCTAACCCCATTCCCAATCCTTCTTCTTTGTCCGGGTTTGGGATCAGCAGTAGCCACATAAAGGCTCCAGGCGGAGTTAACTGACTAATATTGTTACAAACAATTATTAGCTACAAAATGAGTACAATTGATTTCATACAATCCAACATAGTTTATTTATATTTTTTATTTTTATTAGACTTGATGGTATCATTAGGGTGTTATGAGTTAGCATCGATTAGAATTCGTAGCAAAATTAACTAGTTTGACCCTACTTGTATTATAATGACTGATAAGTCTAATATGATTCAGTATTATTTGCTGGTGCAAATGGATTGTACAAACACAAATAGTAAATGCCTTACTTATTTTCTATCATTTTTTATTTATTAAATGCATATAAAATCTGATACACCTGGAGACCAGGAATAGAACGCTCTAAATAAAATATATTTCAAGAGAAATCAATTAATTATATGAACAATAATGGTATGTAATAGGAGATACGGTTCAATAAATAATACAACTGTGAAAGATTTTATCTAGGTAAAGTAATATCATTCATATTTTTAGAGAATGTAAAAAGAAAACTACAGCAAGACTAACATTGACTTCTACTCTAAGCCGCATCTACCAACATCGCAAGTCACTGTGCTGCGCTGTTTTTAGGACCTCAACCAGGAGTCGTGATGGACTGAAAAATCTCAGTCCCATACAGCTACCTTTCATACTATAGTGCGAATTGATAAACTGAATACTTTTCCACTTTTTCCATACCAATCTCAGCGTTGACAAATAAGGTAAGATGTGAAAGTCTTGAGACAAAATTCGTAGAGCAAGTCTGGTGTTGTAAAATAATGAAACCAAATGAATTATCATCACTGAATGCGATTACATTGCCAAAATTAAGAATTACTGACATAGTGATGTAACTGGCTATCAATCATCTTTTGGAGACAAGGATGGTCAAACACAGATAGTTATAGAACATCTTCAACTAGGGGAAGTCTGGCTTTGCTATCCTGAAGTAGAACTGTATTCAGTGACCTGACAGGCTAACATCACAAAAGTTCTATAGATGAAATAGATTACCAAAGGCCGCTCTTGTCTTCATTATGTGTAGACTAATTTCACCAGGCACTCCACCATCTATACTCAAACAATTACACAGACGCTTTTCGACTGCTTCTAACAACTTAGACTAAAGGAGCACAGGTCCCCACCAGTCTTGTTGCAATACTTTCTATTTAGATGGTGAGAAGTGAATTCCATAACTACGGACATTTATTAACAAATAAATACTTATACTTTTTATCATCAATCTTATGTTTGTAAAGCAACTATTTGTCTCTTACAACTAAAAAGTTATTTAGTTTCTCAAAGGCTTGAGAATAAATGTTGACTTTATATTATGCTGCTTAGGTAAAAGTCTTGATAGCCTACAACGTCTTCAAATAGATGACATCATCACTGAAATGGACTTGTTAATTTCTTCATATTAATAGTAAAATTACTCGGAGATTTAAAAGATCTTGCTGTATTTCATGAATATTTTAACAGAAACTACCACTAATATCAGTTTTTTTTTCTAATAAACAATACCAGAATTATATGATAGAAAGAAATCATTTTGACACTTTAGGCGGCGAGACTCTAATTTATGGACGAGGCAGTCAGAGGCGTTTTAGATATTTCATGGTTACGGTGCCAACTTCAGTGCCTAATGCTAACGTACGATCGGTTCACAGGGAATTTTGTACAAGACGTGATAACTGAGCGGCTATAACAAATAAAACAGCGAGACTATAATTTGTGGACGAATCAATCAGATAATAAATCTCGGATTTTAACGCGAAAGCCTTTCATCCATTTGGCTAAATCAATTTCTGGCATTATAGCTGATGTCAGTTAGTGATGAAAACCCCATATATAATTCCTAACTAAGGCAAATTACGGCAATTATTGCGAACTGGATAATAAAAGCACCAGTAACACTGGCTGCAGCCAGGTAGTACATTATATACGGATGTTTGGAGAGCGTACAGACTCCTACGTAGGCTTGGTTATAAGCATCGTGTCGTTATCCACAAGTAGCATTTTGGGCACTCAGCAACCAGAATGCACATAAACAATAACGAAGCTATGTGATCGAGGCTGAAAGAGTTTTTGAGACTTTATCATGGCTCCAGAGCGTATGGATGATTTCCTCTACTGCATGCATTACAATTTTAGAACCTCTGAACCTCTTTCTAACCTCGACAAGTTTTTAAACCACGTATAAGAAGTGTATCCACTTTATTTCCTTGGTTTTGTATAGCATCATTTTACTCTATACAGAATGTTTTTTGACTGGTCACTTAAGATTCGTTCAAAGGTCGTCCATAAATTAGAGTCTCGCCTTTTAGGCTATTTTGAACCTATTATTAGTATAGGTTTTGTTTCTTATAAAAAGTATTACGATTCTACCTTACATGTTAATGAATATCACTTCTTTCATATTGAGAACTCACTATATTGAAACTACAGTATTCGGAGTATTTCAATGTTTTGCAAACGTTGTGTGACTTAAAAGTTTACAAATAATTAATCAGAATATTTGATTCATTTATATTGATAATTGGTTTTCAAGTATAAAACACATCAAGATGGTTTCATAATATTTTAGTGATCTCACTTTCACTAAGTTAATCTCTATCAAGGAAATAATCTAAATAAAGCAAGAACAAATATTGGTGCAGAATAGAACTGGGTAACCCAGTTATTTACACTCATCTATGTCATTTGTTTTCATTCTATCTCAATGTAAAAATTCTATCACATTTTTTGGTTTGTAAGCAGCTGACGAGAAACCTCGAAATAATATGAATTCACATGAATTCACACCAATATTTGTTCTTGCTTTATTTAAATTCATAAAGGGAACCAATTGCAAGGAAATAATCATTAGGTATTAAATGGATATTGCAAAATCACTTCCTTATTATAAGTTTTATAACTCATGAAATACATTTCGCCTATTAAAAAAGTACTATATTTTTTCATTTATTTGAAATTAAACATTTGAAGATGTTTTTTCCCATAATCAATAATCTGTTCATTATTTTTTAACATTAGGATTTATAGAAAATTCTATGTGTTTTATCAATTTGAAACCACACATCGAATGGAAACACTTTTTGTCTATACTCAAGGTGATACTTACTTATTTACATACTAAGGCTTGATACCCCTCGTCGAAGAACATAGGCTGTCCACCAACATTCTACATCAAACTTTGTCCTGGGCAATCCTTTTCAGCTCTTTCCAGTTTTTATTCATCCATTTCATGTGTGCTTTTAATTCCAGACATAGTGTGTTCTTTGGCCTTTCATTTTTCCACTTCCCTTCAAGATTTCAAGTTAGCGCTTGCTTCGTGATGCAGCTGAGGATTTCCTCAATCTATGTCCTATCAACTTCTGTCGTCTTTTCCTGATTTCCTCCTCAGCTGTAAGCTGGTTCGTCCTCTCCCACAGAACGCTGTTCCTGATGGTATCCGGCCAACGGATATTGAATATCGTGCGTAGACAGCTGTTTATAGATACTTGTACTTTCTTGATGGTTGTTGCTGTAGTTTCCTAAGTTACAGCTCCGTACGTACATTAGAACTATCTTGACGTTTGTATTAAAGATTCTCACTTTGGTATCAGTTGACAGTTGTATTGAGTTACATACTTTCTTCAACTGTAAGAATACTGTCCTTGCTTTGCCGATCCGCGCCCTAACGTCTGCATCCGATCCTCCTAGTTCAACGATGATGAATCCCAGATACTTGAAAGAATTCACCTCTTCCAGAGTTTCTCCAACAAGTGTGACTCGTTTGGTGTTCTCCATGTTGTATTGGAGGATCTTGATTTGTGTGTTTGTGAAAGTCTACTACTGCAGAGGTACTGCTACACTTGTTGTCTTCATCTGCACTTGTTCGTGTGTATGGGATAGAAGGGCCAGGTCATCTGCGATGTTCAAATTGTCTAGTTGCATCCAACCTGTCTATTGTATTCCGTGCTTTCCCTCAGATGTAGAGGTCTTCGTAATCTACCAAACCACTAGGAGAAATAGAAAGGGGAAGAGTAGGAAGCCTTGTTTGTCTCAGATCCTTACTTAAAATGCATCTGTCACCTGTCTTCCATGCACAACTTTACACTGTAGTTCGTCTTATGAATTCCTGATTATGTTGACTATTTTATCAGGTACACCATAATGTCGAAGGTGGTTCCATAAACTTTACCTATCTACACTGTCAAATACTTTCGCATAATCAAGGAAGTTGATTTATAGTGACGAGTTCCATTCAATCGATTGTTCAACGATGATTTTTGTTGTCACGATTTGATCTGACTCAACTTGATAGTTTCTTAAAATTTATTTAAAAACAATTAATTGATTTATTGTAATCACTTGACATTTAATTGCTAGCAGAACTACAATATAATTACAATGTTGTTATAACTGTAAATAATCATTATTAGAGTTACATTTCAGTTAATGGTTAAACATTGATGTATGTTTTTGTTTTCAGTTTATAAATGAATTCACAAGATTTAGATAGTTAACTAATGTGAAAAACTATCAACTACTGTGTAAAAGCTTGTCCACATAATACCAAGGTAGTAGAGACCACGTACAAATTCGTGAATTACAAAGCCTACTTTTTCAAATCATCTGATTAACCAGATGTTATTTTACAGATTTATGTCAGTTAAAAAAATTTTCTGTCGTTCCAAATGTAAAGATTTACTTTAAAGTTTTAGAGAGATCGTTTCAGTGCATCAATATAGGCTAATATATTCGATCGTTGGGAAATTTTGATTACTTTATATAACTTTGTTAAATAACTGATATGATGGAAAGAAAAGTCAAGCTTCGATTGAATTACTCATTATGGGTTCTATTCAACATTACTTCTGCTTTGATTCACTGTAGTGATTACTCAATGTAGTATTTGTTTTATTGTCGCGTATGATATTTTCTTCTGTATAATAAACGATATTCTTGTATTCAGTTGACATGACCTATGCTCAATAAGTGATTTGTTATAACTGAGTATGTGATTTAATCCTAATTATTAATCAAAATGGGTGTACAATCAATATATAGGCCAGTGTATTTTAGACTATTGGGATTTATTATTATTATTATTATTATTATTATTATTATTATTATTATCGTCATAGTGTTTTGGGGCTAATAAATCTTTACTTATACCAGTCTTTGTGTTCTTACTTTCGCATCGTGGGAATTGCAGAGGTCCCTGTTCCGAGTATAAGTGATCAGAGTTTTTCCGGCACAGAAAACAGCGACGATCAGATATAACAAATACGACGACCACATATAATAATAACTCATAAACCCCTACTATTTTATTACCGACTACTGGAGGTGGATTTAACTATGGATAAGATTGTACAATTTAAGTAAATGATATCATTGAAAAGAGATCTTTCTTTATCTCAAACATCTAGACTACATTAAAAATTGGTTAGTTTATAAAAAATACCTTTCAAATATACAACTGTTATTACGAAATTGATGGTCTAATTTGTAACTTCTATGAATTCAACTTGTAAAACATGATAATTATTTGTTCTAAATAACCTATTTCGTTTTTTTTATAAAAACACTATCCCCTAGGTGATTCACCATTTTCATGGAATGTCCAAACTGGAGAAGTATGCGTAATAAGCAATTTGAAAATATCACAAATTATAACACTTTTGTAAGTTAAATAAATCTAATTTCCTGGTTAACTATATATTAGACAATTTTAATTTTCTATTAAATAAAAAGAAAAAAAAATAACTTTCATCAGAAAAAAATGATAAAGTGGAAGCAGTAACAAATTCTATTTTTGTTACTTTATAATGGTAATAATCAATAGAAATGATCAAATAATTTCAGAAATCAGAAGGGGTTTTGTGGAGATTTTAAAAATTTCACTGATTGAAATCATGAGTCAATTGAACTAGACCATCGTGGAAAATCTGGAAGCACAAAACCCCTTCTGATAATAGTCATCTGCTCACTAGTGACTGACTTCAAGAGATACTCCTGGAGTTCTAGGGAGAAGTCGTTACCAGTGAAGTTCAACCAGGTCTGTTGTGAGATATCAACTCACTTAAGACAATAGTGTACGGTGGCGCAACTTCGTGGATTGGTTGAAGTTAGACATTAACACCGTTGGATGCCAGTCAGCTCAGTGGTCTGATTGGTTAGGCGCCTGGTACGAGATTGATAGGTCCTGCATTCGAGTCCCGCGGGGTGCGGGATCGTGGATGCGCACTGCTGAGTAGTCCCATACTAGGACAGAACGGCCGTCCAGTGCTTCTAGGTTTTCCATGGTGGTCTAGCTCCAGTTGACTCATGATTTCAATCAGTAAAATTTCAGAAATCTTATGTTCAATTGAAGTAAATAGTATACTGAATAAATATTAAAACCATCATATCAGTTGAATAAATATCCATGTTGTTTTTTTAATGTAAAGTTTATTCAACATGTTTGATAATACTTCAAATGTAACAGAAAAACTATTATCTGCAAGAGATTTTCTTTCAGATTAAGCGTTCATGAATAAGGCCGAAGGTCTTGATTTTGTGTTCTGTGTTCGGAATCGTGAATTTGTACTACTGAGGAGTTCTATACTAGGACTAAATGATCATCCAGTGTTTATAGGTTTTCAATGGTGTTCTTGCTTAGTTCTATTGATGAATTCAACCATTAAAATTACTCATATCTTCACATATTCCCATTATGATAATCTTCTTTATCATTTAGACTACAATGATTGAATTAATAAATAGTCATCGTTGATACTATGTCAGATAACAGCTTTACTCGTGTAATCACTTACCAGACACACAAAATTATGATCTATGGTATCTTTTAAATAAGTACATATTATTAAACTAGTTCACTGATTTTCCGTGGGAGCTAGCTCACTGGCAAAATCACATTAGAAAATCTAAAATATTTACTTTTTATATAAACATTTTTTAATAGAAATTTGAAATTGAGCTCCAAGTTTATAGATAATATTAAATGTAAAAGTTGTATTTAAACAAATGCAAGTTATTTCAACCTTTTATCCAGCAAACTGGTTCGAACCTCTTTATCGGAATATGCCAAATCGAAATTATCAAATATTAATTATTTTCTTGATCGTTACCAATGGTTTCGTTTATTCAATGAATTCTAAATAACAACAATATACTGATTCACACAAACTCATTCACATTGCACATTGTAAATATATTTGTTATATCTTGTGGTAGTGTCCCCCATTAATATATAATGTAATGATACCGTCAATTAGAGAACAGTGAATTATCGACCGGACCAATGACGCATAAACTCATACGAGCAGTCTAGAGTCTTTATCGGTCCTGCCTCCTGACTAGCCCCGAGATATTAATCATGTATTTCAAACATACAAAGTTTATATGCAAACTGAACAGACCACATCGTACTATAAAATAGAAAATAATGTCTGTACAAGATCTAACCACAAGTGGCCGTAAATGTGAGACTTTATATCATAGACCGGGTATAAATCGTATAATAATTATCTATGAGTGAAAATAAAGCTTTTAATAACAGGAACATGAATATGCTTAGTTTAACTATTTAATAATTATATAACAAAAATATATGTATCGTATTGATTCATAAATAGTTCTGAAAAGTTACCATTCATAATTGTCGCCGGGATAAAACAATATTTTACATCTAACCACTCATTATTTTACTATCAACATTTAAATATAATTGAATAAGGTTTTAACTTAGTCTTGTTTATAAACCTTATTTATCTTTGGTAATTTTTATTTCGGTTAGTGCCATAGAAAAGCTTTAATCAGTATGCTGGGCAAGACTTTGAAACTATTTAAATTTCAATCACTTTTGTTCAAAAGTATTTTTTTACTTTCCGTATTTGTTACTCCCTTTACCTCGTACTTCCCTTAGTAACTTGATAATGTTTTCGTTTAATTACTTATTATTTTGGATGTTTTTCTATGTGCAAGTAATTGTTTACATAGGTTTTTTTCTGTAAGTTTAAGCATTTTTATAAATAAATCTTACTGTCATAACCATTTCAATGGCAAAGATGTATGAGTGGCAGATCTACTAGGATTTTGAAAGATTAGTTCTGTTAACATAACGTAAATGATTGAGATCATGAACCGATTGATGTTAGACCACCATTGAAAACCTGCAAGTACTGGACGGCCGTTTCGTCTTATTGTGGGTCTCTTCAGCAGTGCGCATCCACGATTCCGCTCACGGAGTTCAAACCCAGGGCTTTCGGTTTCGCGCGCGAACACTTAACCTACTGAGCCACTGACCCGGCATCTAATGGTAATAATGTTTAACATCGATCAATCCACGAAATATCGTGACCATCTTCCATTGTACTGAGGTAGACACCTATCTCTAACCGACACAATTTAGCTCCACTGGTCACGGCTTCTCACCAGAACTCCGAGAAGTCCCTCACGAAGCTCATAACTAGTGGACACTCCTCAGCACTGCTGAGGAGTCTCGCAATAGGACGAAACGGTCAACTGGTACTTTCACGTTTTAAACGGTGGTCTAACATCAATCGGTTCATGATCTCAATCAAAAACTTAACAATCTCCACAACCCCTATATTAATAATAACGTAAATGTATATATACTAGAATGTTAGAAATTTTAAGGGTTAAACACAGAAATGAAACGTATTCTGTATTTTTTTTATATTGTTTCCACCTAAAATAATCTTTTTTTATGAATAAACGAATAACTATGCAAACGTATTCTCATCCAAAATGTGTTCTATCCAGTGTGTGAAACCAAGTCTATCCTATATAGTCAAGAAAAAGTAAAATATTACACTTTAATAAATAACAAAATTGATGAATAATCTTTATTTACTAGAAACAAAAAGAAAACTTAAAAATGATTTCTCTCTTACTCTACTCCTCATTAGAATATTAATGTTGAAGAAGAAGAAAAAATATATTTCGTTCATTGTTTATGTATACTGAGATGCTATGGTTACCAGTAATGTACATTAATAATAGATCATTCGTATACATGAAATATAAAGAAAATTACTAATTAAGTTATTGGTTCAATAAAAAAAATTATTTCTTTACTTTTATAAATTGTTAAGAGGCAAATATTTTTTGTGATTGATTTTTACATTATTTTCTATGTGGATTGGTTGAAGTTAAACATTAACACTGTTGGATGCCAGTCAGCTCAGTGGTCTAGTTGGTTAAGTGTCAAGAGCGAGACTGATATGTCCTGGGTTCGAATCTCGCGGGGTGCGGGATCGTGGGTGCGCACTGTTGAGGAGTCCCATTATTTACTTGCTTACGCCTGTTACTCCTAATGAAGCATAGGCCGCCGACCAGCATTCTCCAACCCACTCTGTCCTGGGCCTTCTTTTCTAGTTCTATCCAATTCTTGTTCACTTTCTCATGTCTATCTCCATTTCTCGGCGTAATGTGTTCTTTGGTCTTCCTCTTTTCCTTTGGCCTTGAGGATTCTATGTGAGGGCTTGTCTTGTGACGCAGTTGGGTGCTTTCCTCAATGTGTGTCCTATCCACTTCCATCGCTTCTTCCTGATTTCTTCCTCCACTGTAATCTGGTTATTTCTTTCCCACAGTTGGTTGTTGCTAATAGTGTCTGTCCAACGGATCCGGAGTCCATCCGGGGGCTACTGTCGGTCCCAAGACCGGATAAAGGAGGAGGGTTGGGGATGGGGTTAGCGACCACATCCCGTAGAAAACTAACTCGCTAAAAAAACGCTAACTTGAGGAGTCCCATACTAGGACGAAACGGCCGTTCGGTGCTTTAAGGTTTTCTATGGTCGTTTAGCTTCAATTGATTCATGATTTCAACCAGTGATACTTTCTATGTGATATAAAGTTCTTGTTATAGATATAATGAAAACTGTTAACCAAAAAAGAACTATGTCAATTTTTAATGGGAAATAAAGATTATTCTCGTAGACGGAAATACATGTAAGATTACAAGTGTTGAAATGATTAGTATTTACAAAAAAACACAAACAGTTATTTAGATTTAGTAGTACATTATGATCTTTATATTTCAAAGATAAAGTTTATTGATGATTTCAGTAAGACTAATGTTCATATTCTTTTGATAAATCTCCAGAAGATTAAACTATTATGTTTTATCATTTCGTTGCCTAGTAATTAAGAGCAATATTTGTATTTTTTTCTTTAAATTGTAAGAATGTGTAAAATAATAAACATTTGTAAAGAATAAAAGTAGAAAATTAGTAGAAACTATATTTTGAGAATGTATGAACTTATATCAATATCAATTAATTTAAAGACAATCGATACTAGAAGTCATGATTAGAAATATGATGTAATATTACTCACTTACTTATGTAGTGAACAAGAACACGGGTGGGGACAATCGACTGTATTTGGCACAAAAATTACAGACTATCTCAATATAATGTGAATACCATAAAGTCAATCGTCAATTTGCAAAATATCATTCCATCATATCAAACTGTACTGTTCCCGCTGCAAACACTAATCCATTGTCTCCCATTCCATTGTACATGCGTTTTCTTACAATTGCATTGTGTTCTTGCTCTTCCTTTCTTGATGTTCGCCATCTTCTGCTGCCGGACATTACGTTCTTTTAACGCACGTTATATACTACTTATATCAATATAAGTAGGTCACACCACACTTACGCCTGTGACCCACAATGGAGCATAGGCAACCGCCGCGGCCAGATAACATCTCTGACTGTAAGGCTGGGTGACAGGGGATCGAATCTGTCGGGGAGCATCAGTTCCCTCAACACTACAGGTACACCTTGCTGACGTTTGCCAAATAGATGCACTTGATATTTAGTCATATGCTAGATTTTGAAGAATCATCTAATTACTTATAGTCAACGTAAGACCTTTGAGGAATATCCAACAGTCCAAGTTGCCGAACTCTAAATCCAATACATTGATTTAGGGAATTATTGAGATGAAAAACAAATGAGGTAAAGTATTATCACAACATGATAAATATACTTAAAAATGAACAAATGAGTTCAGTAAATGACAATCAATAAATATTTAGAGATCAGAGATGGATACAACTATTTCCCTGAAGTTAATCTTGTTCAGTTCCACGTAAATTCTCCAACTAAGAAAAAAGACTACGGTAGAGATAACAAACAGTCCCCACTTATCGGGACTGGTCAAACTATCATTTAGTTTAGGAATGATACAATGTTATTTGGACGAGTGGGAATTTGGTCATGCATAACATGCTACATACACATTAACAGATTCAGTGTAGCTTCCTCATCAACCGATTTGTTGTTTTTAAGTGTCAGTAAACATGTAACATCTAAGTTACTGAATTAATGTTTCAACTATTCGTGTGATAAAGTACTTGCACCGCATACATATATTCTACCCATCTAGGCCATGTTTTATTAATACAAAGTAATAAGAAGCAAACTACAGTGCAAAATATTAGTTTGCTAACGGACAAACAAACATGTTTTTGTCATAGGTAACACAATTCGCCGCAATCCAAATGAGAGCTTGATGTCCTCGCTAAAACTCTGTCAGCTAACAATCCACCAAGAATTATGAGACTCATAAGATGAGTAATAAAACCAGAACATTCGACTATTTAATTTTTTGTGGTAAGAACAAGCACTAACATAAACTCGTTCTGATGTTGTATTTCATATTTCAAGGAAGCGAAATAAATTCCAAACTTTCTTTTGTATGATTCAAGAGATTTGGCAGACATTAAATTTTGTCAGTCTAAATGAATTGTATGGTGTGTGTAATTTACGTTGATGAATAAAGTACTGGTGTATTCACACAAAATTTTAACTACCGAAAGATTTTTAAGTAGCAAATCATTTCGGTCAATTAATTTTCAATAATGTGATTTATTTTAAATATGTGCTTCGATGATTGAATATATTTTTTAATGGTTGATTGTTATTACGCGTGATATACCGTTTCCACTTAAGTGATTAAATTTATAAAAAGTAAAATTCCACACTTCTCTCAGAAATCTCACTTTATCAAATAGAAAACTACAATCATTAAATACTAATTGATATTCTCTCGTTTTGGGACATCAGCAATTATATCTTCACCAAAATGGAGCTTTCAAAATAGAAGCTACTTAAGAAAATTCAATATTTTCTTAATTATTTATTTGCTATATCACAGATCCACAAGTTGTCTAGTTTGCTTATGATCTATTGAACGAAAACACATGTGGGGAACAATCAAATATACTTTGATGGAACATTACAATATATCTTGGTAAAATCTGGACACCATACAGTAAATACTTCATTTGTTGTTCCTTCGTTTCTATACCAATCACTCTATATTCTCGTTTTCTTCTATTTGGTTTTCTCAACCCTCTGCCACCAGGCATCCCACTTTCGATTGGTGTTACATACTGCTTATATTCTATCGACATCAGTAGCATACATCACAGTGATATATGCATATGTGTATATGTTAATTTAGTTTTTGTTTTTAGAAGAATTTAATCAATATAATATTTATTTATTTGTATGTTCTATTCTTATTTACATAACCGAAGCCTTCCATATTAGATCAAATTATTAATTTCATTATTTAAAATGTATATTATTTATTTTAAATTAGTTTTCATGCAACAAATGTTAAACTTGCTCAAAGTGTAGAAATTGAATTTCGTTTATCGGCTAAAGTTCCATCAGTTCAACTTTTGGTAACCAATACTAAATTACGAATGAAATTTCAATGGCCAAAGAAATTAACAAATTATGAATTAAATACATTAAACAAGATTAATTTGACTCTTGCAGAAACATTACAAAATCGAATTAATCCTGAAGTTACTTCAGAGAAATTATATATATATGAGGTAAGTGTTAAACAAAATAGGCATAAAAGGTCATTAAAATTTTCAAAATATTTTGGGTTACTGATAGGAGTGACGAGACTATAATTTATGGACGAACCAATCATATTTAAGATAGATCTTATATTTTGGCGCGAAATTTATTCACTTATCTGGCTAAATACCATATTGACATTATAGCTGAAGTCAGTTAGTGATAAAAACATTAAGTCTAATTCCTAACCCTAACGTTCAATTGTAAATCCTAATTCTAATTCTCCATACTATAATATAACCCTAATTTAACCCTAGTAAATTGATGGATATTTTAAGGTCGTTTTAGCGTTGCTCATAGGGCGTCCATAAATTTAAGCATCAACGTAGGAGTAATTGCTTTCCTTTAAAGTAACACAAGCTTTATTGGTGACTATCAAATGATCACTAATTCCTTGTTTTTATGAGATCAGATTGCTTCTCAAAATATATGAATCGAATGTGATAGCTTTAGCGCAGATACCGTGACAAAGTAATTGCTACTTTATCACTTTATAACAATATTCTAAACCTAGCGTATTAGTTGAAACAAATACTTACCTGGGGATAAGTGTGGGGGTTTGCTGATAACTTCTATAAAGAGTCTAGAGTTTTGCTGGCATTCTTTCATGTTCAGTTTGGTGTTTATTCACTTAGGTAAAATATTTGGGAGTATGAAAGTTTATATGATAATTGCTGAAAGCTTTTGAGGGATCTTAGTTATTAATTGACATTCGTTGAAATATCACTGAAAATCATGATCTACTGGATAGCTGTTTCGTTATGGTACATTTTTCCCCACGGGAACGAAAAAATAGCTCTACCTAAAATAGAGTGATTTTTCTGGTTTTCAGTGTTATGTCAACCGATGTCAGATATCAGTTAAAAGCGCCTGCGAATTATCATTTTAAACTTCATGCACTTAATCGAAATTACTGAACATTCCTCTTGTGATGGTCAATGAACCAATTTAAATCAACAGCACTGATGATTAAACACTGCGTTAACGTGATATTATAAGGAATGGTCTTATCAAATTATACATACACTTGTATCAACGTAGCATGAGTGACCGTCCTCATGCACTATCACATTACTGTTGTTGTTCTAGTTCAGACAATAATAAAATTTCATGTTGGAAGTAAAAACAGCAAAAAAAGTAAATGGTGATGAAGTTCTGGAACTTTACCTGGTGTAATAACTCATATTTACGTAAACAGATTTATAATAAAAAGTTCATAAAACATTGTAAAACATAGAAGCTTGTAAGTAAATTGATGCCATTTAAAAAAATCAACCGTCTCATTTTGTTACCTGTTCATTGACTGCATCAATGCACTTAGCATTACAAACTTTATTTCGGTGTTGAAATCTTGATTAATAAAGTTCAACCGTGTCGCGTGTGAAACAGTTATCTACCGTAGATACTGCATGAGGGTTGGAAATTATCGTGAATTAGAGTCATGCTTATTGTTGGATGTTGGCTCAGTGGTCTGGAGGTTGAGCTTTCACAAGCGAGAGCGAAGGTACAGGTTCCTAGGGCAAGTGCTTTGACTAGCGAACTGATATCAAACAGTGTAATTGCTTTAATTACTCCACTTTTATTTTCATTATGTAATAGCAAAGTAAATAAAAATAGACGCATTCATTTATTTTATCTATTAATCTATATTTTGTAATTTATTAGATCATGCAATTTAGAATTCCACAAAATGAATCTGATATAGCATCGTTTGAATTGGATTGGATATTCCTACCATTGGGTTTACCAAATGACGGTGAAGAAATATTTCTTTTATCTAATGATTCTGCTATAACTAACATTCATTCATTTCAAATGATACAAAACACAAATCTACATAACGTTAATCAACCAATAAACCTTTATGTACAATCACATAATATACCGAAACTTTCTAAATTATTAACCGATTGTCAATTATCTAATTTGGATAAAGCTGAAATTACTCTACAAAATAATAAAAATTTATTCATTCCCTTCATATTAGAGTCTGTAAAGTTGTTAAATTTAGAAAATTCAGCTTGTTTTCTAGCTAAAAAAATAACAAAACAATTAGAAGAACAAGCATATTCAGCTTCTCAACAATCAAATGAAATTGGGACAAATTTAAGTAGATGGTCAGACAGTCATTTGTATATGCCAGGTAATTCAGTCATGTTGGGATTTTTTCAATTATATATCCTAATCAAGAGTTTAGTTTTGCAAATTGTTTGACTAAAATTTATATTTTAAACACCTTATACTCCTTCCCTATTCTTGGCACTTAGACAAACTTTTGGTAGAAAATAAAATATTTCACATAATCATTGAATAATAAAGAGTGAACTGAGATGCTCCACAGTTCTTTATTTCCAAAACCGAATACTTCAACTATTTTTTTAGCTGTGTAACATCTGAACGTCTTTTGAATTCTCATTGAGTTCAATGTCAGAAGTAAATTCCCAATTGATAAAAACAGTCTGCTCCAATGACCGCTGTAATTATTCATAGTGGTTTTGGAAAAAACGTTGTCTACTTTAATATCATACTTACGTGTTTTCATGCTAAAGTATTCCAATCTTAGGCCATGAAAAACATAAATGACGAAGACACATACATAAGATTCTCTAGTATGTCAGAAAAATATCTACTCATTAGCCGCTGAAAGCACAAGGAAAACGTCTCAATTCAATATTTTTACTACCAATGATTTTTATTGTTTTTAACCATTATATTACTTGACAAACTTCTAGCTAAACAAAAACAATCATTCACAATCAAATTAATTGAATAATTAATTAAATCTGCAATAACAGCGAAATAGACCGATCCACCTACTTTCCAGCATCTTACATAATATGTCCACTGCTATTCTTCTCTTAACATTTCATTTATCTTCATGACATCATCACCATTAAACAAAATGCTTAAGTAATATGTAAATTACTTTGAACTCCTTTCGATCAATTCCTTTGAAGTATTCAGAATTCTACCGACTGTGCATAGATGTTTCCTATAATTATTTTCGTATTCATCACTAATCATTTGTAAAGAGATGGTTAAATATTAGTATCCATGATTTCCTCACATCTATCTCATGAATGTTTTTCTTTCTTAAAACTTTCTGTTGCAATATAACAACAAAATGATAAAGTAAACAGAGCATATAAATAAATAAATAAAATGAAATTCATAACGAAAAAAAACAACCAGTTAAAACTATAAGGTGTTAAACCATTTTTATTTTCTCATTCGTATTTATTACAATCTCTCTATCATCCATATACGTATATTCCATTCACTCACCTTTATTTTACTATTTCACTGAACAAATTAAAATAGGAAAAGTGGACAACATAAAAGAAAGTGAATCATCTAGAAATTTAAAAGAAAAAAAAGAGGAAAACATTTTTGTTCAAAGATAAAAAAGATACGATGACGACGATAAAGAAAGAACAACACGGAGCAATAATAATAATAGTAATAATAATAATAAACAAATAAATGAACAAATAAAAAGAAGTAGAATATAAGGTCATTCATCTAATTTTCTAAGGTCACTACATTTCTTTTTCAATATGCGATTAACTGTTCATTTAAATTTCTATCAATGAAAATGATATTCCATTTAATCTTCTTTATTAAGTCTTCCTGTTTTATTGAAATATTTCATTAAATAGTTGTAGTAAATAATAAACTATTTTTCGCTTAAAAAAGTAAATCGAACTACTATTTATGAAGTAAAGATGGATGGTGGTTAGCAGTGGAATACGGGATGTGCATTTCGTCCTGTTTTCGGCTAGTCAGCTGAATGTACCTGCATCCCAGAGTTGATGTTCACACCAGGACTCGAACCCAGTACTATTCGCTTCAAACGTCATCGCGTTATCCACTTAGCTGCTGAATCCTAATAGTCACCTGCTTGTGCGATGGGGTAAAGTTTAAATTCACTAGATGTTGTTTTACTTGTATCTTCCCATTGTTATTAACGACTAAAATTGATCGTTCTCTTCTTGGCATAACAACGGACTTAGTATCTAAGTAGACAACGAGAAGGCGTTTGAAGCGAATGGTACTAAGTTCGAATCCTGGAGTGAACAACAACTCTGAGATGCAGGTACATCAAGCTAACGAGTTCCAAATAGGATGAAACACGGGTCCTGGATTACACTGATAGTTACTATCCACCTTCGTTTAAAAGCTTGTGACTTAAGATTATACCGAGGCAATCCGCACAGGATGCACATATGCCAACAAGAGAATGAACTTTGAAGCTACACAATCAGTCGAGTTGTGCAACTTATCAAATGATAGTTTGGTTGTTGTTTTTTCGCATTAAGAAATGGTTTTATAATGTGTAAAACCTAAAAAAAACTAGAGAACATTCATAACTTCAAATTATTTCGAATTAGTTACATTTCTTGAGTATTTAGGAACTGACAATGAAATAAATTTTCATTCAAAATAATAAATAATTTTTATTTAAATAAAAAGTTTTGTATTCCATTTGCTTTCTGACGACAATTGATGGCGTCGTTTAAATTAAGCATAATAATTTGTGTTCATGGATCGTTTGATTCTGATTTACGTCTATACATTTTAGAAAAAAAGTAAACTAATAATTCTATTTTTATTTCAATTGAAGCATCAAAATACTTTACAATTATTGTGGAATTCATTTCATGCCTAATAACGCTGTAACTGTATCATTGATAACACGTTTACTATAAAATCACCTTCTTAATTGACCATTATAGCTTACAAAATGTATATACCAATGTAAAGTATAAGATTCACGAAATGATAGATAGCTAGATTGAGAAAAATGAAACATTTGTCAAAAATGGACTGATGTTTACATACAACACATTTATTGGAAATGTTTTCACGAATGAATGTCATCGAACTTTGATGTCCTGAAGTTTTAATGAGAAGACTTGAAATATCTAAGCAACAGGGTAAAGAGAGATGTAGTTATTCATGATGATCATTTCGAATCACGAATCGGATTAAATTAAAAATGTAAGCCATTCAAACCCAACTCTGTGATCCAAATTAATCGTATTCACTACAAAACCTCGAAGTCGTGTTTTCGGTACTTGACAATGTCATCAGTATATACAGAAAAGTAGTACTGAAGTAAGAACACAAATACAATGAGATCAGATCAAAGCTCGAAACATCATCTGAAGAAATGGTAGTGTAACGTAGATAATCAATATTTTCGTTTAGAATAAATCTAATTTATAATATTTTAACTATTCTTCAGAACATATTTTTTAAACACAAATCTTGTATTTGTTCATTGTGTTTACAGCGAATGTTCAATTTATGCCAAATGTGATACCTAACTTCACTGTTATTGCAGGTGAGTATACAATTTCGTGTGTGTGTGTGTGTTTTGTAAACTTATTTACAAGATCATAAGCTCACAGAAAATATCAAATATTAATTTTTCCGATCATTACCATTACTGTCCAAATAAACTTTCTAAAATCTATTGACAAACATGTTAACTTGAACAATGACCAAACTCAAAAACGCATTATTAAAGTTTAATGTCTCACGATAGATAGTTTTTCATGGTTAACATGTTAGATGAACAAAATAACTTGCAAAATCCACATTAATATAATCTACTTTAAATAAATTTGAATTTAGTATTTTTTGAGAAAATATTTTCTGTTTCTAGACTGTTGTTTTCCCTTCTTAGAAATTTGGTTTTACATTGTTGATACACGTATGTTTTAGTTCTGTTTTTTCTTGTTATTTTATCCTTAAGAAAATAACAAGCATACTTAGACACGAGAGTAATGTGCTATGCAGTTTTTCTTCTTGATAGTGAAATAAATCTTCTATATGTAACTTGACTTATGTCTCCAGTTAGTGGATAAAAAGCAGTATTGTTCAGTATCATTAAAGTCGGAGTTTGGGATTGTTAGCTTTGTAATCAAACATATCAAATAGCAATAACGCTCCTACCTTCATTGTAATCATTCCTAGGACTGATGAGATACTATTTTACAATTTATTATTTTATATATCATTTCCAGTCTTTACTTAATCCAATATTCTAAATAATTAAATTTACTAATGATTAATGATTAAAACGTTTAGACATTATCCATCATTCTCCCTGTTTTATAGTAGTCTCACTGAATCAAAATAAACACAGTTATTTGATTCTAAATCAAGGGTTAGAAATTTCAATTTAATCTACTGAATAAACTAGATTTGAAAGTTATTCACTCAAAGCTAATTTATGCTTGAATTTGAATACACATACATTAAGTTTTATTACAAAAAGTGATATTATTGAAATAAACCGCTGTTTTCATTAGTTTTAAACTAATTACATAATAATAATAATAATAATAATAATAATAATAATAATAATAATAATGAAATTTGTAATATTTTAATGAGGAGAAAATTGAATTTCGGATGTGGTTTTTTCTTTAATTTTGTTTTAACCCAATGTGGTATTTTAAATATATATAATCTGCCAAATTTTCAAACCTTGATAACATAACATAATCATAGAATATTTTGAAAACGTTTTATCCAATCAATAAAGTACATACCATACATCTAACTGTGAACATTCAATAGTTGAATTCATGAGTCGATTAAAGCTAGACCACCATGAAAAACCTGGAAGCACTGGAAGGCCGTTTCGTTGTAGTATGGAAATCCTCAGCAGTGTATATCTACCATTCTGCCTCACGAGATTTGAACACAGGACCTATCAGTCTCACCTCTCGAGAGCTTATCCTCTAGACCACTAAGTTGGTCAGCATCCAGTGGTGTTCATGTATAACTTTAACCAATCCACAAAGTGAACATTTAATAAATTACAATTCTTATAATAAACCTGAAATAATACAAACAAACTACTGAATACAGTATTTCTCATCAGATACATATACAACATTTAAAAAGAAAAATGTAAATTGAAATATGCAAATTAACTACAATTTTCTTATGCGATTCTAAAACGTTTACAAAATATTTCAGTCTATTAGGTATAAATCATCTTAGTAATAAACATTCTTAACCAAAACATAAATTAATGAATAATGTGAATTATGCTGAAATAAACTATAAATAAATGAATCTATTTGTAATATCCCAATGAGTAGAAAAATTAGATTATCTGATGTTACGTAACTTAGAGAATAAACTGTTTAAATGTTGAGTAAATGAAGTAATGAGCTTGGATATTATCGCGTCGATTGTAGAAATGTAAGATAAATGAATAGATTTTTAGAATATTATGCTTAGATACAAATAATCTTTGACATTTTTTTGGAATGAAATGTAAAATAATTCTAGATACTACTTTTTAGTAAACTCAAACTACCTTATTTTGTTTTAGTTGCAATTTTATTGTTCTCAATTCCAATTAGTTAATGGATTAGTAATTTACCAGGTTTGTACTACTAATTTAGTGTTTCTTAAGTGCTAAGTAAATAAGATGAGCTTTCTAAATTTAGTTTGCTGTTTTAAGAAGTTTTCTACATATATAGTTATCATTTCTAATAATTGGTGTGAATTATTCGGGCAATTACACATTAAAGTACCATAAAAAAGTACATTTTCCTTTCTTAAATGAAGTTTACATAATTAAATTATGAATCTAATTTGTGTCTTCTAATTCACCACGATATATTCAGCTTTTTGTTTCAAAGAATACGTCATAAAATAAAAGATAGAAAATAGTCTACGGGACTATAATTTATGGACGAACTAAACAGATATAAGATAACAGGTTTCGGATTTTGCCGCGAAATTCACTCATCCATTTGGCATTATAGCTGATGTCAGTTTGTGATGAAAACCCTAAATCTAATTCCTAACCTCAACCAGCAACTGTAATTCGTAATTGCAATTCCTCACACTGGTTTATAACCCTTGTTTCATCCTAGTTATTAGGTGTGCTCTCTCAAGGTCACTTTAGCGTCGCTCACAGGCTATCCATAAATTATAATCTAGCCAAATAGTCTCATCTGAAGTGTAACTACAGTTTTGTATACTTGATTTCATGATTGCAATGTTAGCTGTCTCAAGACAAACAGCAAGAAACTATGTACAGTGATTCTATGCTAACTAGTATTCGTTGATAGATCTACAATCCTAAAGAAACTAATGTTTCTCATAAGAACATTAAAATTCCATGTCTCATTTCTGATACTGTTTATTTAAACTCAAGTCTTATTTTTAATCATCTTTAATTTAAGACTGAAAAATTAAACATTCTATTTGACAGAAATATATACATACATTAGTTTGAACAACTAATAAACACACCATATACATTATTCAAAAGGACGTGTCCTATTTAACGACAGGTCGAATAGATGATCATATATATACCTTCGTAAAGTTATATTTGTAGAATATTGTGTACAATAAATACTAGTTGAAAACTAATAACAATGTTGTGACTTCAGTTATCAAAACTTCAACTTAAATAGCAAATGTATTCATAAGATGGTTTGATTATCATGAGATTGGTTGGAATCATGCTATCGCTAAGATCATTGTTAATCACTCGTCAACTGATTTGATAATAATTTCTTGATAGTTTATAAATACATTTCTAATGTATTCAGCTAATACTTTTTCTCTTTTTGAGGAAATTCATCCAGCACAAAGTATTCAGGATACTTTTTTTAAACTTTTTAACCATATGTAATCCCAGTTCTAATAAGCAAACGTCTAAGCGTACAACGTTTTTTATTAAATGAAATATTACTGAATAATAGACGTGTACTAAGTAGCAACTAGCTCTGAAACGAATTTCCGAAGATTTTAGTGAAAATCTATAATCCTATTGAACTAACCAAATTGGAATTTAGACAGTTGATCACAAATGTCATTGATTGACTGTCATGGTATTTCTCTAATAAGGTAGCTAAAAATGTGATTGATTTTCTTACAGCTCATTAGCTCGGTGGTTTGACGTACACAATAACAAATGCGAGCTTTCAGTTCTGGTCCTGCTTAAGACTAGAAATTTATCACTATGGAGTTTCAAAATGGGCTTGAATAGCCATTGCTACTTATCTGATATTCTGTAGTTATCTAACAGAAGTCAGTTCATCTTGAAGTGTATTTGAGAAGTAAACAAACTTCCACCGACCAAATGAATAAAAAATGCTCTAAATAAATAGTAAGCTTCACTAATTATTTTGAAATTATAAAGTAAGTGATGTTGGGATAGAAAGATTGTAATACAATATACATGATATGATATCTTTGCAATGACAAACGGCATGAACTTATTTACTGAACAATAGCACATAATTCTAGATGAAATATCATCTGTTTATTTACCATATCAAATTGACATCATTGAACTACAATAACAATATCCATGAGAGCTAATTTAAAACTATACTACTTGTATTACAATCCCGGTATTCAATGCTATTTAATTCATCTGTTGATTACGAAGCCTCATCATATGTAATGCATTTAGTTATCATTTGTAGATCCATGATATAATGAATTGAGTTTCATTTAAGAATATTTTTCGTCCTAGCCAATTTTTTTTCAATATCAATACCATTCATTAATATACATTTCTTTAGATAGATTTGTCACCATGGCAACGACAGCGAACATGAAATTAAAATTTAACCAAAAAAAATAACTTGAACAAGTTAACTAACTAATATATCAACTAAATGCAGGAAATATATCTTTTCGATATATATATCGATACTCAAGACAAAGCATTAACTAAAAGCATATAATAAATAATATCTATGCCTCTGACACAACAAAAATGAGGACTGGATATAAATTAATCAAACCGTAGAAATTGTTTCATTTTATTTTTGGTTTCCTAGTTTTATTTACCTTTTTTTTCTCGTCAAATAACAGTAATCATTTATGATCGACCAGATAAATTTCCTTTAGACTATTTCCTGTATTCTGTTTCAAAGTCATAAATAAACAAAATAACCGACCACACTAAAAGCAATTTCCGTTTCCTGATTTGATTTTTAATATAGTGAAGATTTAGTACAAAACTGATTGATTTAATAAATAAATAAAAAAGTAACTAAAGCGTAAAAAAAGATAAAGACCATATAGAATTCCCATAGGAAATATGCTTTAGACACTTATGCTGTAGTTATGTGTATATATACAGCTCAACACTTTGTAAGTAACTATACACAATCAATGGAAGATGTTTGTACTGGAAATAAGAAAATAGAATCGATTCATTCATTCTTTAAATATTCCTTTCACTGTTTTCATTCATTGAACTGCAATGATTTGTAACTAAACATGTTTACCATAAAATGAATATCATTTTGTTCAATTTTATAGTCACGCATAGTAAAAGTTAATTTCTTCTTTTTGTTTGTTTTGTTTATTATTAATTCTTTCTTGTTTTAAATTTGCCGTTAACATTTATACAAGAGTTAAAGTTGTTAGTAGACAGGTATGAAGTTTGTTTTTTTTGTTGTCGTGGGCAAATTATAAAATAAATATTGAAGGTATTTGATGAAAAAGAAAATTTATTTAGTAATGAACTTCTGTCACTATATACGTGCAATACAATAAATATATAATGGATATTATGGTGAACAGTAACCATTATAACTAGGGTAGCATATTTTATTGAGACTAAAATGATTAATTTCTAATTACATTAATAAACTACCTGTTTGATATTATGAATATAAGTCTGTTGTAAGAATTATCGACTGTATGTAACATTTTACTTAGAGCATTGAGTAAGCAATACATATCGGTAAGACTCTAATTTATGGACGAGCCAATCAGAAGCGTTTTAGGAATTTCAAGGTCACGGCGCTAAGTTCAATGCGAGATGCTCACATTCGATCATTTTACAGCAGATTTTAGAAAAGAGGTGATTTTTAAGCGACTACAACAGATGGGACTATTAGGAAGTTCCTGTATCCATGACTGCGGCAATCAAATGACTGCAGCACGATGTGAAGACTACCGTGATGACATTAGATTTCGTTGTACTATATGTTAGAAGATAAAATCTGCTCGAACTGGCACTTTCTTCGCTCGATCACGACTCAGACTGAGGCAAATCATGATAATTGTTGAAAATTGGATTATGAAGTCACCAGTAACAGTTACAGTACGTGCAGCTTGGCAGTACGATATATACCGATGATTGGAAAGCGTATTGATACCCTAACCCTAACCCCTAAGCCTAACCTAAACCCTAACATTAACCCTAAACCCTAACCCTATGCACAATGATTTCAGGACATCTGAACCTTTATCTAACCTTAACAAGTTCTTAAATCATGTAAAAGAAGAATATCCGCTGTAATTCATAAGTTTTTTATCATGTGTTTTCACTGTTGACTAACTCTCTTCTGATTGGCTAATAGTTTCAAGGTCACTTAGAAATTCGTTCAAAGGTTGTCCATGAAATATAGTCCTACCTACATATCTTTCTAATAAGAAGATTGAGGTAGGATGTACCGTATATTGGATATTGAATGCCTAACATTTTTAAATTATCTAGATTATTCATTTCTTTTGTTGACTATATTAGTTGGAAAAAATAAGTAGAGTGATAACCATACTAAATAAGTATATCTAGTATAATATCTTAAGTTATTCGCCTTATAACTAAAATAAGCCCGGAACAGTAATATAAAAACTGAGATTTTATACTTTTGAGGATTTTTAGTTAGAAATTCGGCTTTTCTATCAATAACAGTTGTGGAGATGCTTACTTTTGCAGAAAATATTCGATTTATATATTTTATAACTAAAGGCTCTACATTCCTACTCACGTGTTTGTACATAGGGTGTTTGCTATTATTTTACTCTATCAACTTTGTTATTAAGGTTATTCTGTTTAACATGTTTATTGGTTACTGATCAAGTGCATTTAGACAATATGAAACCATTCAACAAGTCCTTTAAAATGAAAGGTCGTTTAAATATTATAAAATAAGATTTTCGGACAATCATCAAGCACTTAATGAGTCCCAGGTGTGAGACAATGCCTCATTTCAAGCATTGTAAAATTACTGAATATTTTAGCCATCGAGCATTTGATGAATTCGTTTCTTCAACGACTAGCTAACTGACTACAAAATATCAGCACGGTTATCAACGTCTCTTTTGGTGTTTACAAAGTGACGTTATTCAAGACGCCATCCGCATTTTCTACCGTTATGCAGAAGTCCATTCTCTTCTACTGCCAAATTTTAGAAACAACTATATCCGATATTAGAAATACTCTGGTATCTATAGAATTTCGATATAATCATTTAATGAATTATGCCGAAGTTTAATACACGTTGTTAGGAAAAATCGTATAGATTGTGTAGACTGTGATCAGTCACTTGACTGAATATAATTATTGTATCCAGGTAATGACTAATCACCAAAGTATGATATGTTAACGCAATTCTAATGAGAAACTTATTTAGAGAAATAAAGACTAATCATTAAAATTAACCATTTTATGTAACAAAATGATGTACCCATATATTAAGTTGAATGTAGAATATGTTATTAATGCACAATACGTGTTGACTACCTTCTGAAGTGAATGGGTGGAATAGAATGATCTAAGAGTAAAATTAACAGTGATTAGTAGTAAATATATCAATAATTTATAAGGTTTTTAGATGTTAATATATTTCTTTCATTTACCTGAAGTATATTAGAAAATTCGTGATTAGAAATTAGAAATATGATGAATTGGAATCACTCACAACTGTACGAATGAATCTGATCTTTTTCGACTACATCTTATTACTCTTTTGACTGTTATATTTTTGGATTGGTTGAAGTCAAACAAAAACATGTTGGATGCCAGGTTAATGATTTAGAGGTTAAGTGTTCGTGCGCAAAACCGAAGTTTTTGGGCTCAATTCTCCCTTGCTGAATCATGGATGCAAACTACTAAGAAGTATCATACGAGGGCGAAACGGCAGTCCAGTGCTTCTAGATATTGAAAATTGATCGATTCATGATCTCAATAAAAAAACACTTCCTGTTTATTTTGATAACCATTCTAAGTACATTGACTTTCTTTTCATATCATGTTGCAGAGGATGATCACATAATGCAAAGTACTTTTATGCATTCTTTTTTGAACATTACAAGTAAAATCTATTTAAAACTACGTACATCATAATCACATAATCGAATTGTGTTTTGATAAGTTAAAAAATAAAAACAATTTCAAAATCAACATATTCCGTCCAATAACCCAACAACATTGATAAACAATAATAACGATGAGCATTTGCAATTTATACTAAGAAAAGAATAAGCATTAAATGAATTTATTATAAAATCAATGGAAAACTATAAAGAATTATTCACGATTTATCCCCAGTCACTTTTCTGTACCATTGAACTAAGCTTTATAAATTTACAAAAATAAACGTTGATAAATAGAATGATTCGCTTCATCAGTAGAAAGTGTTTTCTCTAAATTATATATATTGAGACATTGAAAATGAAGAATGTATTTGTAGAATTTCAAATTCACTCTCTGAGATTTTATAAATACATTCTTCATCTTTAGTGTCTCATATAAACTCGGTGCCAAAATACTATGAAACTATTCAATCAAATCATGACGAAATTTCCCATATATATATATATGAGGTTTGGTTGAAAAATGCTGAATTTCGGGGTATCCAGACAGGATTAGAAATTAAATGTTTATTAATTTATCTCAATTGATAAACATCACACTAGAGTCTAAGCTTGACAGTGATATTGTTTTTAAAAAATGTTTCTATAACTGTGATCCATCATTATGTGTATCTTTCATTAATTAAACTTCATTACTTGATCAATGGTAATCAAACGTGATTCAGTTGATCGTGAGTAATATAGTTAAAATGTTAACTTGTAATGAATAATTTACATTATAATGACTATTTACCTAGTTAGATATTGTCTCATTTTGATAATCAATGAGTAAATTATTTGTTTTTATTCATCACTATTCTTCTACTATTATTATTATCATTGTTAGATCAACATTAACTCCTATTATAGTAAACAGTACTATACCTTTTTTCTTAAGTAATCTAATACACATTTTCTCTAAATTAACATTTACTCAATTGATTAATTATTCATGGTCAGAAGTAGGACTTACTAAAGGGAACTCATATTAAAAACTAATAATAATATTAATGATAATTTAATGCATGATACGAGGACTTGTTCAATAAATTAATAAATCTATGAAACGAACATTAATAATTTATACATAACTTATTATCTACATATATGTATAAGATGTTGAATAGACATTGTTTTAGTATCATGTTAAGTTCTTTCCCTTTGTAACAGTAATTCATTCAATGAACTAGATTATTTTATATGATTTTGTTTCTTTTTCTTATATCAGGTTTACGATTCAAAAAATCTATTAATCCAAATAATGTTACTCCATCTAAAAGAATTCAATTTATGGAATTAAGAGATGCTTGTAAGTCGGAGAAAGAGATTGTTTATTATTTTTTTTACCGATATCTTTCAATTTATTTATGAATATGTCAAAGATAAACATGTTATTTCTCTAGATGAAATGATATATATTCATAAGAAGAATAAAGTTAAAGAAGGTGTTTGGACTAAGTGACTTGATAAGATTCATGTAAAAATGGCATAATATAATGGATGTTGATCCTATCTTTGATTTCTGATGAATTAGTTATTACAACTTCTTATTCTATTACTAATGTTCGGTTGTTTGAAAGATATCTAACTGAGGTTAATTAGATAAATCAAGTAAAACCGATTGAGACACGCTGTAACTATGAATAAATACGTTTTAAATATCATTCTCTGTAGAGCAAAATTAGCATAATAAATTGGAGCGTAAAACCATTAGAATGATGATGCTTTTAAGCGAAATAGATATGAATACTACTTAGTGTAAGGAATTTCCGTGGTTAAAACAGAGACTCAAAATTAGCAAAAGGTAGTGAGAAAACAGTAGATTTTAAACAAACTAACGCTCGTTCGTTTTTAAAACGTCTATTTAAGCCATTGTTGATAGCTGTTCATACTTTTAGAAATGATAGATATATTCGTGCTTACCTAATATCATTGAGTTAAGACCCGACAGCTCACATTTTACTCCATTTAGTATCGTTATAGTTGATTTCACATGTTAAGGTTTCCCTTCAAACACTTTAAAATCTAACCCCACTTCACTCATCACTGAAGACAGAATCACTTTATGATATAGATAGTTTGTATAACTATGCATAATTTGAAGATTCCCTTCACTGAGAGTTACGTCAAATTGGAAGCACTGACACACTGAAAAAACATAAATCCCTTTAAGCCACCTGTTTTATTCTATCCATTATAATAACTGAGAAATTTTGTTATTATCAGGAAGAGGGTTTTGTGGAGATAGTAGTAATTTAATAGTTGAATTCATGAGTCGATTAAAGCTAGACCACCACGGAAAACCTGAAAGCACTGGATGGCTGAGCAGTGTACATCCACGATCCATTTCGCGGCATTCGAACTCATGACTTTTGAATGCCAGCTTAGTAGTCTGAAGGTTAGGCGTTCGAGCGCTTGACCAAAGGTTCTGGGTTCAACACTCGATCCGATGAGCGAGGTCGTGGATGCTCACTGTCGAGGAAACCTATACTAAGACGAAAACGGCTGTCTAATGCCTCCAGATCTTCAGTGGTGATGTATTACCAACCGATTCATTATCTCAATCAAAAACTGAACAATCTCCACCACCCCATACTACTGAAATTGTAAACTTTACTTTCGTTTGGATCCGACTTTTTCTGGATCGTTAGCTTTTTAAAATACCCAAGCGTCACTAATTTTAATCCTACCATGAAACATCAGGTTACAGAATGTTTTGATGGCTAACTGAAAGTCATCTAATTTCTAAAAGTAACGGTCAACCATAACTAATTGAGATTGAGGTTGACATGATTATACTTTAGTCGTATGTTGAGAAATTCGAATACTTCACTTCTATTTGAAGTTTGTGTTAATGATATTATTCGGAATAACATTGAAAGCTTCACAACTAAACTACCCATTTCAGAGAAACTCCACCAAAATTATACATCTGAGCTACAAATCATTGCCACCATCTCAACGAATCATTCCTTTGTAACTCTCAGTTTTTGGTAAGCCTTTGTTTAGCCTGGAAGTCCGTAATGTTCTGGAAGTAGCATGTAATGCACTCTGTCTGTACAAAAATGAAGTAGAAAAAAAATAAGATAAAACGAGGATGGGTGACTTATTAAGTGCATAATATATACTTACGTTTAATAACGAAAACAATCAACAACAATTAATGACGACATAATCGTAAGTCTAAGACAATTTTGTAATCGTGACGAATAGTTAGAAGTGCACGTTTTTCGACACTTCACATCTCACCTATTTAACTACAGTAATATTTCCAAGAGAATTCACTGATATACATTCCTCAATAAAAATATGATTAGATAACTTAATTCAGTTTCTAAAAAAATATTTTTGTTTTATATAAATTTAAAATAGATGGACTCATTCTTGATGATTCTAGTTGGATGACTTTAACATTAGACAATTCACACTTAATCGGTTTACCTCTTAATGATCATATACGAAAACAACCATATTTATTTAGGTAAGTTTTATTTATTTAAATGCTTTGATTTTACCATGAAAAATATTAAATATACTTTATAAATGTAATTTTTGTAAAAAGTAACACTGGACGGCTATTTTAAATTACCTTAAAATATCCACAACAGTGAACAACTACAATCCTATAGTATTCAAGAATTTCGCATTTCTTCACGGATCATATATCTTGGAGTCAATGAATAAGGATCATGTTAAACCAATATATGATACATGAATTGTTGATTCGATTGCATGTAAGCTGATGAGTGTTTATTACAAAAGAGTTTTTAATTACGAAAAAACAAAACATTTGTCTTCAACTTTTTAGTAGTTATCCCATTGATGTGAACAAAAGATGAAAATCTCTTTCAAATTATATGATCTATACAAAATCACTTTATGATATGACGTATTTATGTCAGGCTACATTATTGATTAGGTAATTATATGGCATAGTATTTTAAATACATTATTCAATGTTATTCATTATTATTGTACTCATAAACAAATTTATGTTATGGGTTCGAATCCCTGCGAGCGGAATTGTGGATGCGCATTGTTGAGAAGTTCCATACTAGGATAAAACGGCTGTCCAGTGCTTCCAGGTCTTCTATGGTGGTCTAGCTTAGCAATTTCAATAATAATCAAATATTCATAGATTCAAAAAGTATGTCTACGACACTCTGAATCTATAATTATGTTCAACAGTATTTATATGTAATTCTATTAATACGTATCACTTTACTGTACACATCTTTATTGTTATTAAATTCACAACTAAGTGATTTTGAGCTGAGATGTTAATCTACCATGAACATTTCACTTCTATCTAACTATTAAGTAAATAATACTAACCTATTCAATGTTCAATAGTTTAACTCAATCAATAATATTACATAATCCAGTTGAAATCAAAAAGTTATTTTAGCATATTTAAATGTAGTTTTAAGAAATAAACATTCCAATTAAGGTAAATAATTTATCCACAAGCATAATGAAATTTTCATACATTAATAACAAAGTTAAAAGAGTTTTGTTATTTCTTTTGGAGAGGGGATTCTATTATCAGTAGAATTATTTCAATTATCAAATAAAAACGATTCATGATTCCTCATGATGTTAATAATGAACAATTGAATAAGAAGTACACTCTGCCAGTTATTCAAAGAAAATGTATTAAATTTACTAGAGTTATGTATGTCCAAATTATAGTTCATAGGAAATCTAATAATATTTTTTAAATATATAATGGATATGATAATAATTATTTAACAAGATTTATATCTTAGCTTTGTTGATGTTCAGTACTGTAATTGATTAGTTTCTCTTGATATATGTATATTCTAAGTGTATTATCTAGATGTTGTTATATAGTCATAAGTTTTAGTGAAGTTTGATGCTGATTGGAAGCATATTCCAGGATGTCGGTTTCGTTTTAATCGCAACATGCCAGTTATATATTCAACCATTCGAGTGATGTTGCGATATTGAAATATTCAGTAGATAAGTTTTGAATAGGATAAAACGTGTGTATTTAATTCCTTATCTAACTAATATTTAAATTTCTTAATACTATAATTAACAGAACTGTTATTAGAGTAATCGTGAATGATAGAGCTGTCACATGTCTTCACAACTTTAAGTGTCTATGAAAGTTTAACTAATTCTAAATGAGTTATAACTTCATAAGTTAAATTATTTGATTAGCTTTTTCAAAAGTTAAAAATGCTTATTTTGTTGTGGATTATAAGGTAATAATTTGTTCATTATTTGATAAACAACGAGAAATACCTGACATACATAACATTGATCAACACCCACTTATCAACCAATTGTAAATACATCTCAGTCATACAGGAGGTCAGTCGCGGCTCGGATAGTTCAGTGGTAACGTCTCTGACCGCGAAGCTCGGCGACACAGGACCGAGTCCGTCAGGGAGCATCAGTTCCCTCAAGATTAAAGGTACGCCTTGCTGACGAACGCCAAGTAGCACGAAACCTAGGTTCAGGGTTTCCTGTTGACTACCTCCAACCAACATTCTATCTCAACATAGTGCACGCAGTGTCGAGTTACCTGGCCTGGTGGCAACATTGCAACTCGGTCGATAGGATTCGATCTGCACTAGGAAGAACCTGACATAAATGACATCGATCAACAACCCGTGATCAATCAATTAGAAATAAACTACGGATATTTTGTTGAAAACAGTCGTTTATTCAGATTTTCAAAGTAATTCAAGTGACGTTCAAGTATCTTTCTATGTACAGATATGTAATTCACATCTTGACAATTCATTCATTAAGTCAAATGTCTAAGAGAGGAATTTATTTATTCTATCACTCAACAGTAATCAATATCATGTAATCTAATCTTTTTAGTATTAATTTATTACAATTAATAATTTAAGTCACTCGGTATTGAAATACACCTGATTTTTGTGTTATCTGAATTAAGGCAATCAATGGATAACCACCAGTAGATAGAAATTATCAAAGTATATTTACATTGTTAAGCAAATGTATATACTTTGCAAAACAACCTACTTTTAAAATAAAATCTATTATTCATCTCATCTTCTAGTGATGAAAGTCAATTCGCTATAACACACAATACGCTGGAATGCATATACGTAACTTACTTATGCCTGTTAACCCACCCACCAGCATTCTCCGTCCAAATCTGTCCTGGACATTCCTTAAAATATCTTTCCACTTGCTATTCATCCTTTTCATTTCTGCTTCCAATTTTCGATACAGTGTGTTCTTTGGTCTTCTACTTTCCGTTTCCCTTTAGGATTCCAAGTTCGCTCTTACCTGGTGATGCAATTTGATGATGACATCCTATCCACCTCCAACGTCTTTTCCTGATGTCCTCTTCAATCGGTTTGTTCTCTCCCACAATAGGTTGTTACTGATGGCATTCGATCAAAGGATATTGAGTTTCTTGCGTAGAAAATTCTTTAGAAATATTTTTACATGTTTTATGATGGCTGAGGTAGTTCTCCACGTTTGAGCTCCGTACAATAAAACTGTGTTGACGTTTGTATTGAAGATCCTTTAGTTGATATTTGTTGACAGTCATTTTGAGTTCCATATGTTCTTCAGTTTTAGTAATTTTGTCTTTGGTTTGCCAATCCTTGCTTTTACATCTGCATTAGATCTTTTTTTCATTGATGATCTTTTCCACATCTTCCAGAGCTTCTCCATCAATTTCGATTGTGTTGGTGTTCTCCATGTTGTATTCCAGGAACTTGATTTTTTCCTTGTATTTGTGGAGGCCTACTTCTGCAGCACTGGGTGACTTCATTTGCACTGTATACTTAACTTGCATTGAATAAATGTCAGGCTCTATTCAACACTGAAGCAAAGTGAAAACAGGGATAGTTTCTCTTTTCTTTCATAGTAATCTTATGTCATTGTAACAGTGTAAGCAGCTGAATGGCCTCACTTAAACTCAGATATCCATAACAAAGTTCAAATTTATTTAATAAAACAATTTTAAGAGAATGTGTCCAATCAAATTTATATAAATTCACTAACTCATTTCATGTAATAAATGCAGTCGTAGATTACATTGTTTCCATATCAATGAATAAGATGGGAACTGTTAAATACCATAGTTGGAATAATATGAAGTACTGATAGTTTTGATCCTGATAGCTTCATATTAGACAATTTTGTTATATAAGTGAGGAAGTATTAATACACTTGAACAACTGCGGACACTCATTCGATTGGAAAAATGTGGAAATCTTGGACAGAGGAAATTCCAAAACTCCAGAGAATTTTTAGAAGCCTGACACTCAGGTCAATCAGCAATCAACAAGCACATTGAAATCGATCCAATTTATCAACGAATGAGGGAAATTATGCACAAATATAAGAACAAAAATCAAACCAATGAGAGACACAACCAAAACAAAGAGGTAAACAATGACAAATTTAAGGTCGATAAGCGCCAATCAACGTCGAGGTGTACAGAACAAACTGTGAAACGCATATAGAGAAGTTCGAACACTTCACTTCTATCTGAAGTTTGTGCTGATGATGTCGTTCAGAAGAACGATGAAAGCTCCACGACCAAACCATCCAGCTCAGAGAACAAAACTCCATCAAAATCATCCACCTGAGCTAGAAATCTTCTCCACTATCTCAAACCATTTTATTATTATTTGTCATAATGGAAATATGATTTCATCATCATCATCTTTGGTCTGCAAAATTTGACATTCTATGTTATGATATATTTTCATTTTGATAGATTTACTAAAACATAAAAGAAACATTAATTCATCCTAAATAAATTTTAAATCATTTTATATTCATTGGAAACTATAGTTCCACAAATCAATAAATTACGTCATGATTAGATCATTTTATTTGGATCAAAATGACATTGTAATGAACTACCTAGAAAGTTGTCTAGAAGGACAATAAAAGTTTCACAATTAAACTATTGATTGAAGAGTAAATGGTTCTTAGCAGAATATTTGACCACAATTATCTTTTATATTTGTCCATAATTTGTTCTTGATTTAAATTTACCTTAGTAATCGTTAGGTTGTTTTTTTGTCACAGTATATGTTAAAATATCTTCCAGTATTCTCAATTGTATAGATATCCTATGATTACTGTTTGTTTGTGTAATTAACTTTATAGCCCTAAAAAATGTCTTGGCATGTATATTTATAATGAAAATGTACAATAGATATTGCGCAAGTACATGACAAGTTCAACTTATTATTACACTGTTAAATAAGTGACTTTTTAACACTTAGATGAACAATGTCTTATACATCATTTTAAATTGTAAGCATCATTTACGTTTCATTTAAAAAGGTCATTTGGATTTATGTTGAGTCTTGGAAACACATGATATAATCTGTCACTTTTATTTCGATTCAAGTCATTGTTTTAATGAAGCACTTGTTCCCTTGTACTTAGATTTACATTAAGAAAGTTTACTGATGTATCATATATATATATATATATATATATATA